TTTCAAAAGTGTTGCCCCTTATACCTTAGAGTATGGTTATAATAATTGCTTTTATTTTTAAAGATTTATTTATTTATTTATTTATACATACAAAACTGGGGTATAGGCCAGAGTTGCAGGGGCAGTAAGAGGCTTCACCAGAGACAAGAGTGGAGAGCAGAGCAGGCAGATCAATGAAGTGCACTGCTGAGGGGAGCAGTGGGCAGTCAGGAGTGGTCTGCTGCGCCATGTGGATCACCTCCAGGGTAGAGATCGAACTCATGCTGAAGTGACTTTAGCTTCTTAGTGCTGTGCTTTAACCCACTGCACCACCAGGGAAGGCCCATAATAATTACTCTAAAGATTTTGTCTTATCATACCAATACCTTTGTCATCCTTTCATTGGTATCTGTTGATTATTTTTTCTCTTGTAAGAAGGTGAGACTTTATTAATTCTTCCTATGTTAAGTAGGACATTTTAAAATTCTTGACATTTTAAAATTATTTTGTCTCTAGTTTAAGTTCTATGGAAATTATTAAGTTTTAATTTTTATCAGGAAATTGACCCAGTTTAATCCAGGCTACAAGTTCTAACCTGATCTGTGAGCTTTAGTTTCAGTATCAATGAACTTTCACAGCTTTTGCAGTAATACGTAGATCTGCCTTGCATGTACCAGTGGCTAACCTGGAACCTGCATTGTGGTATATTTGTCTCAGTTTTCAAAGTCTGTGAAACAAATAGTCTCAGATCCATGCATATATAGTTTGGGGATGAGTGAAAAGTTCATACACAACACCTTCTGACTGGATTTTTTAACTTATATTCAGAGGAGAAGACAGCGTGAAGTACCTATTATATATTGACCAGAACCTGTAATCTTAGTGCCATTTCAACTTAACTTTCTCTTATCATTAAAGAATTTAAACATCTTTTCATATTTTAGAAGATGCTTTTTATTCCTTTGGAAAGTTTAATCTATTACTTCTAATTTTTAAGTCATTTGATATCACAGCTTTCGCTATGATATGCGTTTCAAATATTTTCTCCCAACTTGTCTGTTGTCTTTTGATATTGTGTATATTTTGTCATGTGGTTTATTTTTATGAAGTTAAACTTATCAATCATTTTTTAATTGCACCTGTGTTTTGTTTTGTTTTTAAGATTTATTTATTTATGCATACAAGAACAGGTACAGCCATAGGTGTGGGTGTCGGTGGGGGGGATAGGTTTGAGATGGTTCACTAGAGATAGAACAGGTAGGTTGACTGAAGTACACTGCTGAGGGGAGCAGTGGGTAGGACAGGAGAGGTCTGCTGTGTCATGTGGGCCATCTGCTTGGCCAGGAATAGAATTTGTGCAGAGGCTACACATAGCTTCATAGTGCTGTGTTTTAACCCCTTGCACTACAAGGGAGGGTTCCTGCATCTGTATTTTGAATTACGTATAGGAAGGTTTATTTTGGAGGGAGGCCATGTAGTTTCTTTCACACAAGTTGGAGAGGAATTTCCATGTTTTCCTCTAAACTGCGTAGTTTTCCAATTACTTTTAGTCACTTTGGACTGAATCTTCTATATGTGTGAGGTATGGTTCTAACAGTATCTTTTGCAAAAAGTATTTCAGAAGTCCTACAACTTTCCTAAGTTTGGAAATTCATTGAAAGTATTCACAAAACTCAACTGCAGGTAATACCTAAGCTAAGGTTTTTTATTGTTGCTGTTTTAATAGTAAAGGATGCAGAAAAAAACCAACACAAAAAAAAATGTACAGACTGGCTAACCACATGCTTCTACATCTTTTCCATCCAGGATCACACAGAACGTGTTTTTGCTTAAGCATCAAACTGCAGAAACAATGCTATATGTCTCTGTGCAAGGAATTTTATCTGTGTTTTTGGGTGGAAGGTGGGAGACGGGTCATCTGGGAAGTGTATCCTGCTGCACAGTCAACCTGGCAACCCAAATTCAGGACTTCAACAGTGAAAAAACCAGTTGCATGCAAATCATCAATCTTGTTGTTTGTACAAAATAATCTGACAAGCTAAGACAGCATGGTCCATTGCTCCAGGTGTGCACAACAAAATCATCAATTGCTGACATAAAAAAAATCCCCAGGATCATATTCCCAGGTTTTGGCCAATGGTCAGTTATGATTCTAGATTCCCTTAAAGATAGGAAGAAAGAAGCAACAGTACTGATATTTAATGCTTCTCACAAAATCATTAATCAATTTTCCTAAACTTCTTTATAAAAAAGGCTCTGTTTCCCCCAGTGAATTGAAGTTTTATATATTGAAGTTTTATTATATATTGAAGTTTTATAGGTACTTGTATTAATTTCTGGATTTTTCTAATCTTCCTATCCTGTCTTTTTTTTTTTTTTAAGATTTATTTATTTGTGCATACAGAATTGGGGTACAGGCCAGAGGCTCAGGGGCGGCAAGAGGCTTCGCCAGAAACAGAGTGGGGAGTAGAACAGGCAGATCAACGAAGTACACAGCTGAGGAGAGCAGCGGGCAGATCAGGAGTGGTCTGCCACACCATGTGGTCACCTCCGGGGCCAGCAGAATCGAACTCATGCGGAAGTGGCTTTAGCTTCTTGGTGCTGCACTTTAACCCGCTGCGCCACCAGGGAGGGCCAATCCTGTCTTTTTTAATTAGAATACACAAATGTTTTGATTAGAGAGACTTTATGTAGTATGTTTAATACTCAGAAGTATTTGTCTATCCTTGTACCTTTTCTTTTGTTTCCCTTACTGCTTACATGTTTATTTTTCCATATGAAGTTTAGCATCAACATGTCTATTTCCATGGAAAAAAAATTTCTACCTGCTTTTTTCCTGTAATAATTACTATTTTCCAATTTTAAACAAAACATCTTTTTGTATAAATTACATTACAGAAAGGAGGACAAAGGAAAAACACTAACCCCAATACTTAATATAATCATAGATATAATTTTGTTACTGTTTCTTTTTATATTTCTGTAATAACATTGCATATAATATAGACACAAAAAATTTTCCATCATATTATAGCTTTTGTCACTTTCCCCTCCCATGGTCTCATAGCCATCACTTTTAATGGTTGTATAATGGTCCAACTGGGAGATGGTAACATTTTTCTTCATGGCTTATTTAGCCATTCTTTTATTGAAGGCTATTTAAGCTATGGCCAAATTTTCGCTATCACAAATAATGCTAAATATCAAATTTTCATATTATTTATTTCCTTAGGATAGAAATTCCCAAAGTGGAATTGCTATAGGATAAGAGGAGTGAACATTTCTAAGTGTCTATTAATTCTAAGTGTATATTAATAAATTGCTTTCTTTAAAATGATAAACTGTCACAGTAGTAAAAAGGCCTATTTACACTGCATCCTTAGTTTTCATTGTGTGCCATGACTTAAAAAAACTTGTCCATTTTAATGTGTGAACAAACTGGTCCAACAACTCTACTGCTATACTTGTAGAAATAATCGTGGTGTCAACTGTTATGTGCAAGGATGTCTACTAAAGAATATGACAATGTGGGGGCCTCCCTGGTTGCTCAAGGGATTAAGTCAAAGCACTATGAAGCTGTCTACAGCCACTGCAGCACCAATTCAGCCCCTGGCAGCATGAAGTGATCCACATGGCGCAGCAGACCTCTTTTGCCCACTATTCCCCTCAGCAGTGTATTTCAGTGGATCCACCTGTTCTGCTCCCCAATGTCTCTGGTGAATCTTCTCACCTCACCGCCCACCCCACACAGCGACCCCACACACCTCTGGCCTGCATTCCAGCTACTATATGTATAAATAAATAAATGTTTTCAAAAAGAATACGACAATGTGATATGAAGTATCATAAACAAATGTGTTATGAGAGAATAACTTCTATACTTTATATACTTCCTGTTATTTTAACAATTTATTCATAATAGTACATCATTATTGCATTTAGTTCACTACTCTGTGCCTCAAGTGATACAGACAAAATATTGTCTGAAACAGTAGTAATTTTGTAATTGTCAAAAGGCAGTGATATTTAAAATAGCCAAGATATGGAAGCAACCCAAGTGTTCACTATAAATGAATAGATATATACACACACCCCTATATAATGGAATATTCGATTCTAAAAATGAAAACCTTGCCATTTATGACAAAATGAATGGAACTTGAAGATCCTGTGCTTCAAGAACTTGAGGAAAATGTCAGAGAAGGATAATAGCATATTATTTCACTTACATTGGAGTCTAAAAAACAAAATTCAGAGATAGACCAGATTGATTTTCAAACTAGAGAAAGATGGGGAAATGGGTAAAAATGGGTGAAGGGGGCCTCCCAGGTGGCCTACGGGTTAAGTCTCAGCACTATCACTGCTTTGGCTTTAGTACCATCTCAGCCAGGAAGCTAATTCAAGTATGACACAGCAGACCTCCTATCTCCCCCACTGCGCCCCTCAACAGTGTATTTTAGTGAATCCACCTGCTCTGCTCCCCACCCTGCCTCTGGTGAATCCTCAAACTCCACGTACCTCTGGACTACACCCCAGTTCTTCTACACAAAAATAAATTTAAAAAATGGGGAAGGGACCAAGAAGTACAAATTTCCAGTTATAAAATAATTAAATCATGGGGATGTAATGACACAGAATGGGGTCCATAGGCAAAAGGATGGTATCACAACTCAAAAAACTGCAAAGAGTAGATGAGAAATGGACTTATTGTGGTAATCATTTCACATTATACACAAATACCAAATCATTATGTTGCACATCTGGAGATAAAGTTACATGTCAATTATACCTAAATTTAAAAGGAAAATTGTAATACTTCATGCATTAAAAAAAAAAAAAAAAAGCCCTGAAAAGCGAATCAGTTTTTCAAAAGGAAAACTGAGAGTCCTCTCAGATGCTGCCAGCAAGCCCGGGCCTGTATACCTAAGCAACTCCACTTCACCTCGCCTAAGGTGAGGGAAATGAACCACATTTCCCAGCGGGCCCCGCAGGTCTGCGGCGCCTGCGCACTGGCGGCGTCGGCTAGCTGGCTGAGCTCCCGCGCTACCCCGCCGCCTGGTCTCGCCTGGTCTCGCCTCGGGTCTGCCGAGGTGTGGAGGGGTATGGAGGGGGTCCCGGTGGTGACCACAGGCAACGCGGCCGCAGGCGAGGCCGAGGGAGGCGTAGCCATGCCGCCCCCGCCCCCGACCTCCCCTCCCGCCCTCACCCCGGCGCCCTCTGAGAGCGAGGAGGGTCCGCCACCTTTGCCTGAGGCGGGGGCTCCGGGCTGCTCGGGCTCCCGGCCCCCAGAGCTGGAGCCCGAGCGCAGCCTGAGCCGTTTGCGGGGCCGCTTCGAGGACGAGGATGAGGAGTTGGAAGAGGATGAGGAGCTGGAGGAAGAAGAGGAAGAGGAGGAAGAAGAGATGAGCCACTTCTCCCTGAGGCTGGAGGGGGGGCGGCCCGACTCCGAGGACGAGGAGGAGGTATTTACTGCCCCTGCCCGACTTCGGGGTGGGGGCGCCTCGGGTGCGCGGGCCGGGCGCGGCCCCCAGCTCGCGGCTGCAGCTTTTGGCACTTGAGTTGACTACCCTTCCCTGCCCTGCTTGCCTCGGAGTATGGTGGGACTGGCCTTTGCTCCCGACCCTTGCCGACTTATTTCGTGAGGTTCTTGAAGATCACTTGTTCAGGAAATCATTGCTCAGACTCCTGCGTGCCGGGTGGCAGGGCGTCGCGGGTCCTGGGCCCCTGCTTTGCAGGAGCGTACAGTTGGACGGGGGAGACAGTCCCTTTCTGCATACAGGCTTCTCCACCTAGGCAGTCTCGAATCTGACTTTTTAAAACTCACAGTTCTTCAAGTCAGGTAATACACTCAGCGAGAATTAATTTATGAACCACCGATATTTGGAAACTTTGCCAATTTTGTGATTTGTAAAAATGACCCGTACCTAGCAATATACAGTATATCAAAAGAAAGAGACTTTAAAAAAAAATTGGTTTACATTATATCAAAAGAAGGAGACTTTTTTTTAAAATTGGTGTTATTGTAACTTTCAGCAGCATGAGAAAGGGTTGGAGGTACTTTAATTTGTTTCCATGTTGCAAAGGAAATTACACATTGTTAATATTGAAGTTTTGGGTGTAATAGTTTAAGAACTTGAGAAGGTAACGATTTGTATTGTAAAATTATTTCTGTTGCACTTGCAGCGCCTGATTAATCTTGCAGAGCTGACCCCATACATCCTGTGTTCGATTTGCAAAGGTTACTTAATAGATGCTACTACCATTACAGAATGTCTTCATACCTGTAAGCATATGGTTCACGTTTCTGCATAATATATTCAATTTTTGAGATATCTCATGAGCGTCCTAACTTAACCATTTTCTTTTACAACAGTTTGTAAAAGCTGCATTGTAAGACATTTTTACTATAGCAACAGATGTCCAAAATGCAACATAGTAGTACATCAGACACAACCTCTTTATAATATCAGGTAAGAGGAATAAATAAATAAAACTTATATTTGTAATATACTTTTTATTAAACGTTGAAGTTGTGCAACTGGGAATAAATTCTTAATACATCTCAGAAGAAAAGAAAATACACTCTTTAAAGAAATGCAGATAGAGCACTTACTATGTACCAGGCACTGTGACATCAGCTGGGAACTGAAAAAAGCACAGACCTCTTTTCTTGAGGATTTTAATTCCATCACTCAAGCTAATGATGCTAGTTTAGGTTTTTGTCATTTTCAATATATTTAGAATTATATTTTCTGTAAGTATTTTCTATAGTATGTAAATATAAATGTAAGTATATACTATATAAATTTATATATAAATATATTTTCGATAACTGGTCTCTTTAGAAAAGCTTATCTATTATATATCATTGTGTCTTATTAATCAAGATTTTAGTTCATGTTTAGTTTCCTACTGTAAGGAAAGTGTTATAAGTGGATTGCTTTTATTCATTCAGTAGCTATTATTACATTTTACTGTCTTCATACAAGAGTTCTTTGCAGAGGCTATTCAGAAGTTCAAAATACAGTCTCTGCCCTCAAGCTCTCATAAAGAAATAAGACCAATACAATTTGGCAAACTATTCAAGAGTCTGATTACTTACAATTATGAATACATATGATTACTTGAGGTTCTCTTAGGTGAGTTATATCTCAGGAGTCATGAGTCACCTCCAAGAAAAGGGCTCTTCACTCCTAAGAGAAAATAGTTACCTACAAAGAACATCAGTCACTGTCTCACAAAATGCATTTTTCTGAATTCTGAGGTATTCTCCATCCTTTCCTTTTATTAGGTTGGACCGACAGTTACAAGACATAGTGTACAAATTAGTGATCAATCTAGAGGAAAGTAAGTTTTTTTTTATTACAAAGTTGTGATCCCAGAATCTCTGCTGACTCTACTAGTTACATTTTAAGTGTAATTTAGTTTGTGTTTTATCATTTTTTAGGAGAAAAAAAGCAAATGCATGATTTCTATAAAGAAAGAGGTCTAGAAGTACCTAAACCTGGTAAGTTTGGGTGTATATCATGATGTATTTATAGATTAAAGAATTCTCATTTAAATTAATTCCCTTTGAGTTCTTTTTGATGATAGTTGTTTTTTAATGATCAAAGAAAAAATTTGAAGGTTTTGATATAATTTAATTATATGAATTAAAGAGTACAGACTCTGGAGCTAGACTGTCTGAGTTTGATTCTAGTTCTACTTCATCAGCTATATGACTTTGCAAATTGATGTAGTATCTCAGTTTCTTTATCTATAAAGAAGGGCTAGGGATACAATTTTATAAAGTTATAAGGGTACATTGACAAATACAAAGCACTTAAAACAGTGTCTGGAACATAGTAACTGTTTCACCATTAATTTTTATGGTGGTGATAATGTCACAGTGTGGAAGTTAGATTTGGATTTAAATCTTGCTTCTTCCATTTACTTTATGGATACTTCAGGCAAATTGCCTAATTTACTGAACTGTTACCTCAGTTTCTTTACGGTTAAAAAAAAATAGCAGTAGCATCTATATTATGGGATTATAGTAAGAACAAAATGAGATGATACATGTAAATTTCTATGCATGAGCCCTATTTATAATAGTGCTTGTTAAGGGTTAGCTACAGTTGTTGTTACTGCTGTGATTAACTCTCTTTGTGGCCCTGTGACAGCCAGCCACACAGGTTTGCCTTGCAGTATAGAGTAGTTCCCAGGCTTTCTGACTGTTTGTCATTGGCTTTGATGGATTCACCTGATATTAAAGAAAGGGAAATTGAGTGCCTTATGATTTTTAAAATATTTGATATATTATAAAGTATCTGTAATTATTTTTCAAATTATGATATTTTTGTTCTAACTCCACCTATTTTGTTTGGCTATCAAATAGCTGTTCCACAGCCAGTCCCTTCAAGCAAAGGAAGATCTAAGAAAGTCTTAGAATCAGTGTTTCGTATTCCCCCTGAACTTGATATGTCTTTATTACTAGAGTTCATTGGGTGAGTACCTCTTAATCTTAAAATAAAAACCTTGTAATATTCCAGCAGTTAAGAAATCATCCTGAACTCAAGTCAGGTTTTCTTGATAGTCTTGGAAAACCAGTTATGAAATATTTAAGACTTAGAAAAAGGTCTAAACAGTTGTACAGTAATTTGTAGCACCATCATCTGGCTTAAGGAATAAAGCATGATAATTTAGGAAAAGCCTTTGGCTACTTCTTCCTGTTCACTTCTTAAAATAGCGATTGTCATTTCCATTCTTTTCTTTTTTAATATGTTGTCATATGTATCTCTATTCCTAAGCAAAATTAAGTGGCATTATGCTGTGTTTTTCAACATAATTTTTTCACTCAACATTGTCTGACTTATCTATGTTGAAATATGTAACTCTAGTTCATTTCTCTATTGCCTCTGAGCCTCTTAGAGGTATCCTGGTTTATCTAGTACTGTAAAATATTTAGGTTGATTCCATTTTTTCTTGCTGTTATAAACAATGTTGTTTTAAACATTTTTTTGTTCATATCTCTTTGTATATATGTGAGATAGTCTCTAAGAATGTAGACTTGTTGAGTCATAGGATATGTTCATCCTTAAGTTTATTGGATGTTGCCTAAATGTTTTACTAAGTAGTTGGACATTTTTCCATAAATTACTTCTTTCAAACACTGTGCCACAGTGTACTCTGTTGTGCTACAACGTTGTTAAATGTACAAACTGTAGTTTCCAAGATACTTAATAGGTCACAGAATATATAAAATGTCTTTCTTGAAAAATCTAGATCTTTCAATGTATGTCATTTATAACTATTTTACTGCTCAGTCATTTCCTTTTTATAATTCTACGCTGCTTATGTCATTTGTTTAGTATATAGCTTATATAAAGTTCTCTTTATCTCTGTGTATTCTTCCTGAACCCTTACGAAGTGAAAAACTTTTTTTTTTCTGAAAAAATTTTTTATTCTCCATATAATGAACAAAAGATCTCTTTAGAGGAGGACCTCCTAGGTAGTGCAAAGATTAAGTCTCAGTGCTGTTAAGCCTGGCCATAGAGCTAACCCACATGGCGCAGCAGACCTCTCTTGTCTCTCCAATTGCTCCCCTCAGCTGTGAGTTTCAGTAAATTCACCTTTTCTGCTCCCCACTCTGTCTCTAGTGAATCCTCTCACCCCTAGCAACTCTGGCCTACATCCCAGTTCTTATATGCATAATAAATAAAACTTAATCTTTAAAAAAAATTCTTTGGAAAAATGAGAAGAAACCCATTTTTTTTTAAGATTTATTTATTTATGCACACAGAACTGGGGTACAGGCAAGAGGTGTGGGGGCAAAGAGGTGAGAGGATTCACCAGAGTCAGAGTGGGAAGCATAACAGGCAGATTGATCAAGTACACTGCTAAGGGGCACAGCAGGCAGGTCAGGAGAGATCTGCTGTGCCATGTGGGTCTCCTCCCTGTCTGGGGATCAAACTCATGCTGAAGTGGCTGTGGTTCGTAGTGCTGTGCTTTAACCCATTGTGCCACTACAAAGGGCCCTCTAAACCCAAATTTGAAACTAGCCCTTTCTGTTACTAAAGAATGTGATCTAGCATAAATAAACAAAAGGGAGCTAATTAAATGGTGGCATATAGAACTTAATTATTACTAGTATAAATACTAATATTGAACAGTCTCCAAAATGTCATAAGTGAAAATAGCAAGATAAACCCAACTTTTCATTGTATTTGAATTTTTACTTTGTAATTTGATTTTTAATAGTTAACATTTGTGTTGCCATAAAAGTCAGATTACTAGAGGCAAATCATAAGACAGGACAAATGGCAGATAAGTGTAAGGGTAAACTTGGTCTGCTTGGTGGCCTTGATTGAAATGGGGAAGATAAAGACTGAAGGGGGAAGATAAAGACTGAAGTAGGTCTTGCCTGTCAGCAGTGAATTTTCAACCATAAGAATGAGAACATGAATTTGACATAGGTTTCCTCCTAAATTTGAGTAATGGTTTGTGATCTTAAGAGAGTCTTTTACTATTTCTTTTTGTTCTTCAGTTTGTCTGTGTAAAGTAGGTCATAAAAAGAATGACTCAGACAGATGGTATAGTATCTATAGAAACCATAGACTGTAGGCTGGATAGTGTGCATCTGAAGTCTAATTCACACTTTGTAGTCCTTGAGATGTGACTTAACTTCTTAGGTAATCAGTTTTTTTATTTCAAAATTTGAACTTTTAATAGCAATTAGCAGAATTGTAAGAATTAACATATGGTGCGCCTCCCTAGTGGCCTAGGGATAAGTCTCATCACTATCACCACTATGGCCTGGGTTTCATCCCTGGCCAGGGAACTAGCCCACATTTGGCACAGCAGACCTTTTCTTTCTCACCGGCTGTTTCCCCTTAGCAGTGTATTTTAGTAAACCCACTTGTTCTGCTCCCTACTCTGTCTCTGGTGAATTCTCAACCCTCCCCCACCTCCCACCTCAGACCTAAACCCCAGTTCTTCTATGTAAAAATAAATGACTTTTAAAAATAAAAAGAATCAGTATATATTACTCTTAACATGTCTAAACTATTAATCGATACCTATATATTGAGATAATACAAGGTCATTCAAATATAAAGATTAAAACAGTCTGTGGTGCTATAATATGTACAACATTTGCCTGAGAAAGAAAATGACTCACATTCTGAATGAGACCAGTGTGATAGAGCAGAAATTTGATGCAACATTCAACTCACTGGTATATAGGAAACGAGGGAGGTGATGTACGTTGTATTAGTCAAACTAGAAGTACTGTGTTCAGCTCTGGATGCTACCTTATAAAAGAGTTGTTGATAAACTGAAGTATAACCAAAATGGTAAAATGTTTGAAAATCATGTTATATGTGCCAGTGGAAGGAATAAAACTATTTAGTCTAAAAAAGAGAATCCTTACATTAAGTGAATAATTTCAAATAGAATTGAAGAGAACCAAAAGGCAAAACTAGAATCCGTAGATACAAGTTTCAGAGAGAAATATTTGATTCAGTATAAGCAAGCAATTTCTAACAAAGTTGTCCACAAATGGAATAGATACCCTTATCATTGAGGAAGCTCTTTATCTCTTTAGGTGTTCAAGCAGAAGTCAGATACTCATTCCTCATGGATTCTGTAGATCCTGTTTATGTAATGAGTAGAATATTTTATAACTTTTAGATTATACTACAAACTTAGAATTATATTTATATATAATACGTATGCATACATTTTATATTTTATGTTAATGTAATTACTATATTATGTAAACATATTTGTAATATAATTTATATATTGTTTCTGTATTATATTTATATTATAGGCACACTCTGGAAATGATGAAATTGTCTATCCTGACACAACATGATAGGGAAGAATGAACATGGTCTTTGATACTAGGCACACCTGAGTTTGAATCCCAGCCTTATCATTTACTAGTTCTGTGACTTTAAATAAAGTTATTAACCTTAATTTCATCATTTTAGAATGGGGATACTAATATGTTATTTGCAGGGCTATTATGAGAACTAAATTAAAAACATATAATGTCTGATACATAGTAGATGGTCAACAAGTTAGTGCCCCTGGTCTCCCTCATTACATAAAAGCTGTTGATTTAATAAAGAAATGACTGCACTTCTGAGTTAAAGATAAACTGAATAATTTATACCCAGGTGATTATGCTATATGTTACAAGTAAAGCCACAGGAAATATAACAGTATTTTTGAAGAAATGGATCTTGTACTATAGAGGGATAAAATAATTATATTAGAAAAGGGAAGTTGCTAAATGTGGGATAATTCTACATATTAAGAATAACCTTTTATATGTCAATAACACATTAATTCTAATAAAAGGGAACATACTTTTAAATAAATCATGAAAGTAAGTATGCAAAGTAGTATAAAATACTGCCTTTGCTTACCAGTAGGTGGCAGAAATGGCAATGAATTACATTTGTTTTTTTTCATAAAGGGTTAGGTGACCATGTTTTAAAATTAAATTTATATTCCTCAAATATTTATATTCATATAATTTTCCTGTTGTTGTATGATTAAACATAAAAAGTACTTTATTGATTAATTTTGCTCTCATTTTTCAGTGCTAATGAAGGCACGGGACATTTTAAGGTATTTTATTTTTATTTTTTATTTATTTCACTGGAGGACTTGGTAGCACACAAATTTGCCAAATTAGCAACCATATGGAGATTGTCTTCAGTGACAATAAAGAGTGTTTTATAAATGAAAGTTGTTGGAATATGAGATAAATTCTTTAATGCTCTCCTAATAGGTTTATAAAGAAGAGTTCAGTAGGGATTTGTTATAAATTAGAACAAATTTATAGAAGAAATAATTTTTTTTAATTCTAAAGCCAAATGATATGTTAATTTGGTAATTAAATTATTTTAAAGCTTTTTTGCATAGCTGGCATTTAAAGTTAAGAATGAACTAAAATTTTATATGCATGTAACATTTTTAGCTTAAGTTAGTTCACCTGCTCTAACTTCTTACTTCAGCCATTTACTGAATTTTAGAGGTAAGAATTTTAGAGGTAAGAACGCCTTTGTAACATACTTAAGTTCAGAGTTGTCTTAAAGATCCCACTATCACAGGTGCCACTAAACACATTTTTGGTGCTATGGTATGAGTCACTCAGAAAAAGGTAGCTTTTTAAATCAGACCTTAACAGTTACTTAGGGTTGTAGACTTAAAGGATATAGGCTGATCCATTTAGGTTTTTGGTGTCAAAATCTATACTGAAATTTGACAGAATTTTACCTATTAGGTACAGAGTTTTGTGAATTTACTGATTGTGACATGAAATAAAACAGGAATAGATGAGTATTTCCCTAGATGAAATGTGTTGTAGATGTTTCCTAGATATCATTGTGAGGGAGGGAATGCACTGTTAAGTTTGGTAAATTTGAACCTTTTCTATGTTGTAATTATCAAACTAATGGTTGATTAATTTCAGGAAGTTCTTTCATCATAGTGTGGTTGGTGGAAAAGCAGCAGATTATTTCTGTATGTGTAAAACATTTCTATAGATTACATAACATTTGTATGGAGTGAGTAAGTATCTCATACTTTAAGTGTTCCCTGAAGATAATCTGTCCAGTGATCTATAGTAGCCAGACAAGCTAACAGAGTATAAAAACTTCATGAAGAAAGAACTGGAAATTAAATTGAAACACTAGCTTGTTGCTTCCACAAAAGCACATAAGCACTAGGATATGTGTTCTGATTTTCACACATCAAAAAAGGTAAGATGACAATTTCACCTATGAAATGTTCTTACCAAAACAAAAATGAAGCTGATCATGCCCTTAGATATAAATACTAATTTACAGGAACTACAGCAGGCAAAGGAATGTGTTAAATGCCACTGTAGGAATAAATCCAATGTGATAGCCAAATCTAGAGACAACTAATTCAGTTTCTTCAGCAAATGAAAGGGAAGAAGGTGAAGAAAGAATGTATAGGTAGAACATATTCAGTAAAAGAGACTCAGGGATATATCAACTAGTTGCAGTGTCTAAAGTTTATTGGATTTGATTTGAAAATAAACTGTTAAGAAGTTTTGAGAAAATACCTTCAGATTGGAAAACAATCTAGATATCCATCAACCGATGAGTTATTTGACCAAAAAAAGGAATACATAGGTAAGTGATATATATTTAATATTAATAGGCCTTGAAAAATGCTAAATGAAAGAAGCCAGTCACAAAAGACCACACATTGTATGACTCCATATGTATGAAATATCTAAAACAAGTATTTACAGAAACAAAATAAATTGCCAGAGTTTCAAAGAAGGAAAATTGGGAGTAACAACTAGTTGTTGATAATGAGTTTCTTTTTGGGTGATTAAAATGTTCTGAAATTAGATTATTGTGATGCTTGTATCAGTATACTAAAATTAGTGAGTTCTATACTTGACAGTGGTGAGCTTAATGATCTGTGAATTTTCAGAGTATCTAAACCAGAATCCAATAGAAACTTATAATTTCTTATAATTTACTTGGCATATATTGGGAGTACAAAAGTATATCTGGTAAAAAATAATATGTGCATTCATGAGAATTTTAATTTGAGTCCACTGTAATGATTTTTTTCATGAAATCTTTTATATTTTCTTAAAATTTGTCATTTTCTACTAGATAAAAACATAATTGACACAGTTGGTGAAATTTGAATATTTACTAGATATCTTTCATATCATTGGTACAATGTGATAATAGTATTGTTTTTAAAAGTGTTCTTTAAGAGGTATATACAGAAATATTTACAAATGAAATGTGCCTGAGATTTTCTTCAGAACAAATGAGGCACAGGAAGTATAATAGTTGGGTTAAGACATAGGTGGGGTATATTTAAAATAAGGTTGACCTTGAGTTGATAAACTATATAATAGGTGTACTGGAGATTACTATGCTCTTCTCTCATAATTTTGAGACATTATAATGTCTGATACAGATTATAGTTAATGTGCAGTGTGTATATGTAAGAAGAAATGATCCTAATAAGTCTACATTTTGACAGTTTCTAATTTGCTAAGATAAAGTGATCTTTTAAACTTTCTCAGTTAACACATCTTCAGTCTTGTTTGATTCTGTAGTTATAATGAAGTTTAGCATATATCTTATCACATAGTTCACTATTTCCTATTACTCCTCATTTTGTTCATTTTTCATCTCAGTTGTAATCTTCATGGGCTTCCCACTACCAAATTTGATCCTTTTCCCCTTCCCACTCCCTGCAAAAAGTCTCTGGTTTATAGTTCTTCATTGTTTTGGTTTTTATTTTATTACAATGTTTTTTTCTGATCTCTTACACTCCTGCTATTTCTTAAACCTTTTACCATGTAGATCTATGGCATGAAAATCTTAAGCTTTACTTGTCATGTTCAGCTTTTAAAAGCATTTCACAAACAAGTAATTTAGTCCAGAAAAATTTTCCCAGGAGTTATTTTTAAATTATGAAAATACTTTAGCGTCTAAAAAGTAGACAGAATAATACTCCCATATATCCATCATCCAGCTTTACCAGTTAGCTAATAGCGAATTTAATTTCCTCTCTACCTCTATCCACTTCCCTTGTTTCTAGTATTATTCTGAAACAAAAGCCCAGTGTTTTACCACTTCATCTGTAAATATTTGAGTACTATTAAAAGATGAGTCTCTTTTTTTAATGACCATGCATTCTACCAAAAAATAAGAAAAATATTAGTGTCATGAGAGATTAAAAATAAAGTGGGGCCCTCCCTGGTGGCCCAACAGGTTAAAGCACAGCACTGCAAGCTAGCTGCAGCTGCTTCGGTGAGAGTTCTATCCCCAGCCCTGGAGGTAATCTACATGGTGCAGCAGAACTCCCCTGATCCACCCGCTGCTCCCTTCAATATTGTACTTTGTCAATCTACCCATTCTGCTCCCTACTCTGTCCTGGTGGATCCTCTCACCACCCCTCTACCTATGACCTGCACCCCAGTTCTGCATAAATAAATAAATCTTAAAAAAAAAAAATCAAAGCAGCAGAACTGTTCCAGATGCATGTCAGCAAAATGCAGTGTGATTTTCATTAGATCCTGGATTGTACTAAAAAAAACAGCTTATATAACAAGCATTATTAGGGCAATTGGAGAAATTAAAGTTTAGACCTAGTTACATAAATATGCTAATTTTCCTTAATATTTTATAAATTTCCTAATTATGTTATTGATTTATAGGAAAATATCTTTATTCTAAGAAGATAACTGCTGATTTTTTGAGGGTGAAATGTCTCATGCCTGCAATTAACTCAAATAATTCTGGGAAATAATATATATACATGCATATATACATTGAGAGAGATAAATAGCAATATAGTAACAGTTAATAATATATTAGCTGTTTCACCTAGCTCATAAACTAGATGAAAGATATCTAGCTGCACATTAAACTATTCTAATAGTTTTGTAAGTTTGTCATTTTTCAAAAGAATGATTAGCAGATGAAAATTGATTTGTTAACAAGTATCTAGTTGGTGTTCATATTTTAAGTTGTCTCAATTGGAATGTTTGTTTGTTTTAAATTAAGTACTGTGAGTCAGGATCCATGAAGTTCACTCATTATATTGGTTGATAGGTCTTTAAATCTGTAGCTTTTCTATTTTTTTCTTACTACAATTTATTATTGACAAAACATTCATTTGCCCCATAGATTGCATTTAGATGTTACATTTTTGTGGTATAGTTTAACATGTTCTTTTGTTTTCTGGCTTTCCTGTAAACTGGTAGTTAAGTATTATAAATATTAATTAGACAGGTTGACTTGATAGAAGCAAGAATACTTCATAGGTGGTGGTGTTTTATCCATCTGGAGACACATAATATCTGGTTACCTGTGTCTCTTTGTAATGTTAGCAGACGTTGGTGCTCAATATCTAAAACTACTGATTTAACATTTTTTTTGAAAATACTATCATTTTTCTTTCAGATTGAAATGCTTCCATAAAGAGAAACTTCCCTTTATCTATTTGGTTAGCCAGTGGTACACTTAACAATGGAAGCAGAATAAGTGCTTGATCCTTTCTCCACACTTACGAAGTTCAAAATAAGGTGGCTCATTAATATACGCTAGTCATGACCAATTAGGTTTTGTTGTTTTTATTTTTAGTTTGAACTTAACAGTCTGAATGTATTTGTAGTTAAGTCCGTTTTATTTATTATCCGTGTCGATCTTCAGATTGTCCTATTATAGTCTATGATAACATCCTTGCGATCTGATGTAACAAGACATTCCGTGTTCAATTTGTACTTCTCTGACTCAAATATGTATGGCATCAGTCGTTTCTTCAAGGTGTCGTTTCTTCAAGTTGTCTTAGTTCTGTTTGGTGGTACTTCAAAATCACACTCTGTTTGTTAGAGGTTCACCTTACTACTGGGTTTGTGAACTTCTTAGGCCTTTTCAGCTGGGTACAGGTGCAGTGAGAGGATTCACCAGAGACAGAGCAGGTAGCAGAACAGGCAGACTGATGAAGTACACTGCTGAGAGGAGCGGTGAGGGTCAGGAGAGGTCTGCCACACCACGTGGTCACCTTCAGGGGCAGGGATCAAACTCATGCTGAAGTGGCTTTAGCTGCTTAGTGCTGTGCTTTAACCCACTGTGCCACCAGGGAGGGCCTAATACCATCTTTTTAGAAGACATTTTTAATGGTATGCATTACTAAATTCTGGAAAATAACTGAGTGCCTTTTTTTAGTCTCCCTGAAGATCTTAAACTAGTTTATCTTATCACATTTCTTATTAAATTGGCAGGAAAGATTATAGTCTTAGTTTCAAAGTATAATTTTTCAGAATTTATTTGTAGATATTGGAAAGCTATTAGATGTAGGAGAAAAAGTGTTGATCAATCTGTTCAAGAGCTGCTTTTGTCGTGTTAAGCAAAAAAAAAAAAAACTAAAGGAAATTCTAATTACAAAGCTGGATTTGAGTTATATGAGGAAAAGCATTTTCTGAACTAATAAACCTGGGATGTTTAGGTTTTTTTTTTTTAATATAATTCTGTCCTAGGTGATCTAAAAAGAACTGTATTAATAATGTTAGTGGAATTGCATCAATTTTAATAAATGTGGGGTGGGATGCTCCCTTACAAATGAGGGATATTTTATTTTTTTCAGATATAATTCTGGCCTAGGTGATCTAAAAAGAACTGCATTAGTAACTTTAGTGGAGTTGCGTCAATTTTAACAAATAATGGGGTGAGTTGCTCACCAAGAATTTACAAATGAGGACAACTGAACTGTTTACTTGTATGCCTGAAGCCTGCTGTTGGGATTGATTGGCAGACATGCAGGCATCTAGCTAGACATCCAAAATAGCAGTCTCTCAAGACTCCTAGTATTCTCTGGTAATCAAGCAGCATCACCAGAAATAAGATGCCTTCATAGGACTCCAGCTGGGGCACTGTTGTTATCTCCTTATTAGAAAGATTGCCCTAGCTTTCTGAGATGATTCCTATGCCCGCATTAAAAGAATATGTCTAGATTTTATCAGTGCCCCGTGATGATAGCTATACCTTCTATAAGAGTTAAGTTCCTTCATATACAGAACAAAAGGACCATAGTACAATAGTAACTTTAAGTGCCTATTATGTGTCAGAAATTGCTAGTGGTTCTTTTAATACATTAACTCATTTTCCTTGTGCTAATTGTGTGTTAGGTACTATTATTATCATGTCTGTTGTATATATGGGGGTATGGAAACACTGAAAAGTTCAGCAGCCTACCCAAATACTTGCATCTAGAAAATGAGAGAACCAGGATTTGAATTCAGACTGTCTGTCTAGAATACCTGAATTTAACATGATGTTATTTGCAATACTTGCTAATAATAGCAAATAGATCTATGGTCAGGAAAGGTCTTAAGAAACCAAAATATAGATAAGAAGGCTAAGAACTCTTTTAAGGAAGAAACATGTGCCTATCTTGTATAGGCTCTTTTGATAGCCATTCTGAGCTCCCTCTCTGCCAGTGCTAGGAAAAAATATCACTCTAGTTTTCCTGAAAGGTTTATTTCAGTTCTGATTTCCTCAGCTTTTCACTTGCATTAGATAGTAGTATAATTAAAATTGCCTCAAAAGGCCTCCCTGGTGTTGTAGGGGTTAAGTCTCTGTACTATATTGTCATCTTGTAGCTTGAGTTTGATTCCTAGCTAGGGAGCTAACCCACATATAGCACAGCAGACTTCTGTCTCACCTGCTGTTCCCCTAGGCAGTATATTTCAGTAGGGCTGCCTTGTCTCTGGTGAATACACACACACATTAGGCCTATACCCATTTCTATGCATAAATAAATAAAATACATTTTTTAATAGCCTCAGAGAGAGTGGCGGGGTATTAAGTTTCCTGTTAAAAAAAAAAAGCCGGCCCTCCCTGGTGGCGCAGCGGGTTGAAGCACAGCGCTGAGAATCTAAAGCCGCTTCCGCATGAGTTCAATTCCCGCCTGCCCCGGAGGTGACCACATGGCGTGGCAGACCTCTCCTGACCCGCCCGCTGCTCCCCTCAGCAGTGTACTTCGTCGATCTGCCTGTTCTGCTCCCCACTCTGTCTCTGGTGAATCCTCTCACCCTCCGCGTCTTGCACCCCAGTTCTGCATAAATAAATAAATCTTAAAAAAAAAAAAAAAAAAAAGCCAGGTAAGTATTAAGTTTCCTGTTTAAAAAAGAAAAAAAGACTTATTTACTTATGCATACAATAGCTGGGGTATAGGTCAGAGGTTCAGGAGAGGAGAGTTTGAGAGGATTTACCAGAGACAGTGTGGGGAGGAGAACAAGCAGATCTACTGAAACATATTGCTGAAGGGAGCTTTGGGTGAGACAGGAGAGGTCTGCAATGCCATATGGGTCAGCTCCCTGTCCAGGGATTGAACTCGTGCTGTGGTGACTGGCAATAGCTTCAAATGCTGAGACTTAACCCCCTGTGCCACCAGGTAGGCCCTAGTTTCCTTTTTTAAACCCTGTGATCTCACATCCCTCAGACCTTTGAAACAATCATATTCCAGCCACATTTAGAGATGTTCTTTCTACTTTACAAAATCTTTATTACAGAAATTTTAAAATTTGTACAGAAGTAAGTAGAAGAGTAAACTGAGCCCCCATGTACATATCATTCAAATTTAATACTTAAAAACTCATGGCCAATCTCATTTTATTTGAGCTTCATGACTTCTCTTCCCATACAATTCCCAGCAAATCCCAGTCTAGGTATTAACTTTATTGGCAAATAATTAAATTTGTTTTTAAATGGTGGGAACTTTTTACAAAAACAATCATACTACAATTTTAAAAATTAGTGATAATTCCTTACACATCCATGTACTATTTGTATTTCCTAGTTTGTCCCATGAAAAGTTTTTTGTAGACTAGTTTAAGTCAGGATCCAAATAAAATCCACACATTGCAAGTTGTTTATCTCTTATTTATATAATACTTTTTAGTCTAGCATTTCTTCCTCTATCCTTTTTTCCCCTTACAGTGTTTTTGTTGTTAAGAAACCGGAGTTGTTTTAGACATTTAATCTTGGATGTTCTCTCTCTGCCAATAAATTTAATCTAGGTTTAATTTTTATGAATTGTTAAAATAAACAAGTAAACTATTTAAGAAAATTTGTTGATATGCCTTTCAAAGAAGCTAAGCAAAAATGCTACTTTGCTTCTTTAATAGGTGAATTAACTCAAATTTCATAGTATTTTATTAGTCTGTTGAATCATTTACTTTAAATTTTAAGGGATATACATATCATGTAAATTTAGTCTAAAAAGTTTTTTTATCTATTATATATTTTTGTAGCCATTGGAAAAGAAGTTTGTCCGAGTTTCAGGAGAAGCAACTATTGGACATGTAGAAAAATTTCTCAGAAGAAAAATGGGTCTTGATCCAGCTTGTCAGGTAGAGTACATGTGCATAAAAGACAAGTAAAGTTGTAAGGTTTCTGTTAGTATTTAAAGAGTCATCTCTAAGATTTCATGCATTGACGTTTTATGATATTGACATAATAAATGCTAATAAATGTTGGTACATAGTGATTCCCACTTCCAGCCATAAGCATATTTGACTTACTATCTCTCTCCTGCTGTCACTGGTGACCATCTTTTGGTGTTACAGAAAAGCTGAGGATGTGAGAACTTTAAAGAGCATCCAGGTCCATCTCTTTCTTTCTTGGTAGTAGAGAAAAGATTATTTATTGAGTTTTTTCAGAGGATATCTTTGAATTTATCGGTTGCTTGAGTATAACAGGCCAGCTAAAGACACCTAGATAAGAAATGAACTATCTAATATATACCATATCAGTTATTTAAGGATTCAGAAAGATCTCTCATTCTAGTTATATGATATTTATTGATGTAAGATAGACACTTCAGACCTCACGTTGTTATTGAACATAAGTGAAAAGTGAAAAGTATACTCATAGCTCTGGTGATGTAGGTCACTAAAAATACGCACTTATATACTGTAGCTTTTATATTAGTCAAATTTAAGAAGGATTTTTGTTATTTTCCACCATATGTAAAATTTCATAGAATAATTTTTTTTCCTACAACAATTTTTCTCTAAAATACTATTTGCTTTTGAATAAGGTAATAGATAAACAAATGGATGAGTTTCTTGGTTTTTTTTTTTTTAAGATTTATTTATTTATGCATACAGAGCTGAAGTACAGGCCAGAGGTGCAGGGGCAGTGAGAGGATTCACCAGAGACAGCAGAACAAGCAGATAGACAGAGTGCCTCCCACACTAGTGAGGGGAGCAAGGGGCGAGACAGGAGAGGTCTGCTGCGCCATGTGGTCACCTCTGGGGCAGGGATCAAACTCGAAATGAAACAGCCTTGGCCAGCTTACAGTGCTGCAGTTTAACCCACTTCACCACCAGAAAGGGCATGGCTGAAATTTTTAGTAGCAATATCTAATAACTATAAATTTGACATGTTAATTAAACCCAACAAAATGTGACATCTGCTGAGCTTGACATAATACTAATATTTTACGACAATTGAAAATTTGGAATTTACTTATCACCTTATAGCCATAACATACTTATGCTTATTATTGGTGTTGGCTAAAAATAATAGCTGACTAAAGATTCCTAGATAAAGAATTGTGAGTGATCCCAAAATAACCTATTAATTCTAAATACAAAAGTCAAAAGACTTGTACGCAATTATACAAGAATAACCAAGAAGCAGTATCTAAGAGGACTTTCTCTCAAATACCCTTTTTTTTTTAGAATTTATTTATTTAGGGCCCTTCCTGGTGGCACAACGGATTAAAACACAGTTCTGTGTGCATAAATAAATCTTTAAATAAAAAGATCTTTTAAAAAATATTTATTTAGGGTATATAGGTCAGAGGTTCCAGGGGTTGAGAAGATTCACCCACAGAGAGGGGAGCAGAACAGACAGATTGACTGAAATGTACTACTGAGGGGAGCAGCAGGCGGGTCAGAAGAGGGCTGCTCTACCCCGTGGATCATCTCCCTGGCTGGGAATTGAGCTTGTGTTGTAGTGGCTGTGGCTCACTTCATAGGGTTGGCTTTAACTTGTTGCACTACAAGGGAGGGCCTGAATATAGATTATTTTACGATTTACTTATTTATGCATACAAGAAATGGAGTACAGGCCAGGGTGAGAGAATTTACCAGAGACAGAGTGGGAAACAGGTATATCAACTGAACCACACTGCTGAGGGGAGCAACAGGTGAGACAGGAGAGGTTGAACTCGTGCAGCAGTGGCTGTGGATAGCTTCATAATGCTCACTTTAACTCCTTGCACCATCAGGGAGGCCCAAAAGAGACTTAAGTTAACTCAAAATTCAGAAGCCAGTAATCATCTGAATAAGTTACCGCAGTGCCTCTAGATTATCATAGTTGATTAACTGGTATTTATCATTGTATTTTGTTTCATATATAGTTACTCCATTGTTTCATCTTCAGATCCTAGTTTACTTTTATGAGATTTAGAAAATACCACATTGAACCTAAACATTCTTTATGTGAAAGAGATATTAGATTTTGTTGTTAATTCTACCTTAGAAGATAGGGGGTTTTTTTATATTTTTATGCTTATTTGGTATATGATCTTGACTGTACTGTTGATCCCAAATCTTTAAAAAAAGAGATTCTAATACATCACATGATATCTCCCCACTGTTACTAAATTGAGCATCTATGTACTTCACCTGAAGAGCACAAAGGTAGGAGAGAGAATTCATGCTATCAGGAGACTTAGGGTTTTGTAGGAACAATATATAAGTAAAGATATCAAGTAAACAACTGAATGGCAACAAGAGATGGTAAGTGTAACATGAGTACAGAATGAATGTTTTAACTCTAAGGGGTCAAGGAATAGATTTGAAGAACAGATAGGGATTTGCCAGACTGATAAAGAAGAAATAAACTTGTCTCTGGGCAATACTCCCCCCACACACACACACCTCTGGCCTGTAACCCAGTTCTTGTATACCTAAATAAATCTTTTTAAAAGAAAGAAAAATTCTATCTTGTAAGCTCTACTGTTACCTTACTTTTAAAAAGAAATGGTTTTTCCTCTTTCATAAATACCTTCACATTCTGTTCCAAAATCCAGAAATATTGTATTATCTTTTAAGACTTGATATTCCAGGTGCCTCCCTGGTGGTGTAAGGGGAGTAAAGTAAAGATATAAGTATAAGTAAAGATATCAAGCACTATAAAGCTATCAGCAGCCACTATAGTTCGATCCCTGGCCAGGGAGCTAAGAAACCTACATGACACAGCAGACCTCACCTGTCTCACCCACTCAGCAGTATATTTCAGTCAATTTGCTTGTTCTGCTTCCCACTCTTTCTTTGATAAATCCTCTCACCCTACCTCCTCACACCTCTGACCTATAACCCAGAAATTGTATGCATAAATGAATAAAATAAATCTTTAAAAAATACCCTTGAAATGTTAATATGTAGATGGTTGTGCAGAAAAGAGTTGATGAAACTGACCTAAACTGTTATCTTTAGGAGGGCCTACTTATAAAGTTGGCTGGCCCTTGCCTAGTATCTAGGAGCCTAGTTTGCAGAGTCCCCTACACTAATATGAACATTTCTCTGTTGGGTCTTACTGGGCCCAGACTGTACCTGCTTTTCTTCGGGGCATCTGGCACCTGGTAGTTTCTAGGCGGAGAATGCCAGCTTTGCCAGCCCTCAGTAAAAACTCTGAACAGCCTCCAGCAGGCCTGCCTCGGCAGAAACTTTATTCCTGTTGGTTGTATTCCTGCCACTAGAGGGCAGAGTAGTCTGGGTGTATCTCTAGACTGAGAGGTCAGAGCACAGAAAGCCTGTACATGGATTTCTCCAGCCTCTTAAGTCTTCTTCCCTTTGAGATCTAGCAGTGTATCCTTGTTGTTCCCTGTCATAAATTATAACTGTGATCAGTCAGTCAACTAATGAAATATGTGAGTCATGTTTGTGGCACCTTTAGAGACATGACTCATTGAATCAAATAATTTATGAAATACTTACAGACAGGTAGTTTTTAAAAATCAACACGTAATTTAAATCAACAGAAGTAATTAAATATTTATCAGAGAAATGTATATGATGAAATTTTCATATATTTATGCAATGAACCATTGCAGGTATTAGAAAAAAGCTAACTTCATACTTTAAAAGCTGTTCATGGGGGGCTCTCCCTGATGGCACAGCAGGTTAGAACACAGCCTGAGAGGCTAAAGCCACTTCTGCAAGAGTTTGATCCCCGCCTGCCCCGGAGGTGACCCACATGGCATGACAGACCTCTCCTGACCCGCCCACTGCTCCCCTCAGCAGTGTGCTTCATCTATCTGCCTGTTCTGCTCCCAAACTTGTGTCTGGTGGATCCTCTTACCGCCCCTGTACCTCTGGCATGTACCCCAGCTCTCTATGCATAAATAAATAAATTTTTTTTAATTTAAAAAAATGTTCATGAGACATTTTTCATTGTAGAACAATATATATGGCACTCTCTCATTTTTAAAATAAATTTTTACATGTATTTATTTATTCATACAGAACTGGGATACAGGCCAGTGAAAGGCTTCACCAGAGACAGGGTGGGGAGCAGAACAGGCAGATTGATGAAGTACACTGCTGAGGGGAGCAGCGGGCGGGCCAGAAGAGGTCTGCCGCGCCATGTGGGTCACCTCTGCTGGGGTGGGGATTGAACTCATGTTGAAGTGGCTTTAGCTTCTTAGTGCTGTGCTTTAACCCGCTGCACCACCAGGAAGGGCCCTATCTCATTTTTATAGAAACAAAACTCACATCAAATTGTCTGTAACTGGCCAATCTCTCAGTTAAGCCTAAGTCAAAAAGAAAAATAATGTTAACCAGACTATTAATGTATACAATATGGTAAGTCCAATAAGAGTGTTGGCTTCTGCATTGCAGAATATTTAATAAAAACATAATAATAGTTTACAATTTTTTAAGTCATTTTCAAATAAATTTTACTTTGCCACTTTAAAAATTGGTAAGTGTAAACCACAAAAGGTGTTATTAATTAGAGATTACATAACATAATGAGCGAGCACAGGAGTTAGCAAACTGACCCATGGGTCAAATCAAACTTGCCACATCAGTTCCCTCGTGTATACTTTAAGATAGTGTTAGACTTTCCATTGTTGAAAAATGAGATAGTCCTTTAAAGGAAATTATTCAAATAACTGAAAATTGTCTTTTTAAGTATTATACACCCTTTAGTCATTTACTGTGGAATTTTTAAAAACATCTTCCTGCATGCACCTCCCTGGTGATTCAGGGGTTAAAGCCTCAGTGCTGTCAAGTTCTCACAAGCCACTGAGGCATGAGTTCAATCCCCAGCCAGAAAACTAACCCATATGGTGCAGCAGACCTCTCCTGTCTCACCTGCACTCCCCTGAGCAGTGTATTTCAGTAGATCTACCTGTTGTGCTCCCTACTCTGTCTCTGGCGAACCCTCTCACTGCCCCTGCACCTCTGGCCTATACCCCAGTTCTGTATGCACAAATAAATAAATCTTTAAAAAAAAAAAGATTTCTAAAATTATCCTGAGTGTTTAACAAATGTAAAATAAAATAGTAAATGTCTAGCATGTAAATATGTTTTTTCTCATGGTTTTTTTGTAGTAGAAAAGTGATCTAATAGTCTTATTCTTATCTGTCCATAGGTAGACATCATCTGTGGTGATCACTTGTTGGAGCGCTATCAAACTCTAAGGGAAATTCGGCGTGCCATAGGTGACGCAGCAATGCAGGTAGGTCTCACGTTATCATTCCTAGTCCTAACAGCAGCTATTTAATGAAAAGAAAAAAAATTCCATGTTATCAATAAAATTGTAAGAAATATTTTGTCAAAACTTACCTGGACTATAAATAATAATTAGAACTAATTAGAGTGCTTACTGTATTGGGCACCATTCTAAATGGTTTATGTGGGTTAACTTTTTTAATTATTCAATTCTATAACATTGGTATTCTTTCTTTTTTTTTTAATATATATTTAAAGAGCAGGTTTATTAGTGAAAAGGACAGGATATTGGACACTTGCATAGACATAAGCAAGTAGGGAGAGCTGCCCCAGAAGGGACAGGTTTGCAGAGAGAAGGCTGCATGGTTGCAGGTGAGTGGCTTTAGGAGAGCTGACTCTGCTGAGGCAGGTCAGTGCAGGAAATTCCTGGTATGGTACAGGTCATGGGCAGGCAGGAGGCTGCTGCCTTGCAAAGGGAGAGAGTAGGTAGACAGAAGCACCTGCATAGTCACAAGTGGACAGAGGACTGCTGCTGGTATTCTTTCTTTTTTAAAAATTTATTTTATTTACTTATGCATATAATAGCTAGGGTGTAGTCAGAGGTGTGTGGAGGTTGAGGATTTGGCAGAGACAGAGTAGGGAGCAGAACAGGCAGATCTACTGAAATATACTGCTTAGGGGAGCAGTGGGCAAGACAGGAGAGGTCTGCTTCTCCATGTGGGTCAGCTCCCTGGCTGGGGATTGAACTTGTGCTTCAGTGGCTGGCAATAGCTTCATAGTGATGAGACTTTACCCCTTGTGCCACCAGCGAGGCCCTACATTGATATTTTTGAAGCATTCTCATTTATGTTATTTCTTGGCCTTTGTGAGCACTTAAATCTATGTACCATTTTCTAGAATTCTGATAAGTTTTCTTTGGAGTTTCAAGAGCAGAAGGAGGTTACAGTGAGTTAGTAAGTAGAACCACAGAAAAACTTAGCAGTGGAGAAAATATAGAGGCAGTTGGTTAGAGCAGTTGGAAATGCAAAGGTGCATGCCACCTTCCCTCTCTAGGTTGTTCAGAGTAGGCCTACTGCTCATGGCACACTTTCCCAGCAAGTCTTCCAACTCAGAGATTAGAAATAGCATCTTTAAAAAGTAGATTGCGGCCCTCCCTGGTGGCGCAGCAGGTTAAAGCACAGCACAAAGAAGCTTAAGCCAGTTCCGCATGAGTTTGATCCCCACCTGCCCCGGAGAAGAGCCACATGGCGGCAGACCTCTCATGGGGGAGCCTGTTATGCTCCCCACTCTGTCTCTGGTGAATCCTCTGACCCTCCGCATCTCTGGCCTGTACCCCAGTTCTGTACGAATAAATAAATAAATCTTTAAAAAAAAAAAAAGTAGATTGCTTATTGTATGCAGCCTTCTGGAAAAATACATAAATATAGACTTGATCACAAGAGAGAAGATAAAAACAGCAGTTTAAAATGCTCAAACATAGTATCTGGAGTCATTTAGTGTTAGGGGAAGTTGACAACAACCCCTGAGATATCACTGGTACAGTTACTATTCAAGTGATGACTGGATACCAAAGGAAAGTAAACTTGTGTTTACAAGTAGTCTTTAAAGAATGTGATATACTTTAGACTTTCATCCAGTTTTAAGAGTTTTCAGAGTTTTCTCGTGAGCTACATTTACATAGAAATAAATTTTCATTTCTTATCAGATCCATGGTTCCCCGGTTCTCCCACCCCCCCCCCTTTTTTTTTTTTTAAGACATTCTAATGCTTGTATGGTTAACTATTTAACCATAAATAACTGTAATAAATGCTAGTTTCAGAATTGTCTCCTGAGAGTCATTAAAAAGGCACATTGACAAGGGAGTGTTTGGTGAGGAGGTGAATGAACAAGCAATTTTGTTTAGTTTGGACCCATTCTTTCAATGACAGAATTTCACATTAGTGGTAGGTTATGAAAAATACACCACCTTTGACTTGATTATCTATATAATTAGCTTCAAATAACTGCAAAATGCTTTTTTTCCTCTTTTCAGGATGGTCTGCTGGTCCTTCATTATGGTCTTGTGGTTTCTCCTCTGAAAATCACTTGAGAATTCGAGAAGCATTATAAGGAGACTTGTTCAGGATTGCATCTCACCAAAGATTTCCATGAAATGTGTAGTTGCTACCACTTTGTGCTGTACAAGACATACTTTATCTACTTTTAGCACTAAGCACCATAGCATTTATAAGTGTAACTTGGAATGATGGAATGCATCTGTTTTACTAGAGACTATATATAAAAAGCATCCATAGCTCAGGGGAAACTTTCAAAGCTGCAAATTTTTAAATTTCTTGTGGTTTCAAAAACCTTGACATTGATTTTGCTTCCTCATCTTTGGGGTAAATTGGTTGCTCTTTTCTTTGTTGGAGCCATATCCTATCCTTCATTGAGCTGGTTAGGATTCAGCTCTCTGGAATACCATTTGGGTAGTTACCTTCGAGGGGGAAAATATACTTTGGAACTGAAGAAGCAAATCTAGTCTTCAGTAAACTACAGGATTATCAACCACTTTTATATGTTGACATCATATTTTGAACTTGAATCTTTTTTTATACAGTGTCACTACTACAGAGATGTTACTTACTTGTAAAAAGGATGAATTATTATGTCTCATTTTGGTTTTATGGTCCATCTGATAAGCCTTTAGTGTAAGAAAGACTTTAACATATCTTACAAGGGGTGCTTCTTTGCAACATTATCTTTGAATGTTTGATTGACAGTCATTAGAGCATACAGTGTGATTGTCAATATCTTAAAATGGCACTAATTTTGAAGGTAATAGAACATTTTGAGGAATTTACAGAATATGTATTCATCGTTTCCTCAGTAAGCGAGCTTAATGTTCATTTTCCCTTTACTTTGTCTTTGGGATAAAGAATTATGGGTGTTTGAGAACTCACTTGCATGCAAAGATTTCAATTTTAAACATTTTGCCTAGCGTTGGCATTGTAATGCTTTCTAAAAGATATATTTTGTAGACCTACTTTTACTCCCAAATTTCCAAATCTGCATAGACGTAATTACAATTGGATAAGAATTGGCAACTTTTTGTAAAGAATTTGTGAATTGTGTATTAATCTCAACATTTAATACAAATTTTTAATAAAATTTTATTTTAACCTATTTTTAAATAATTATATTTAATTGTGGGTGTATAGGAAAGTAACCAGAAACTTTTGAGACAAGATACTCAAAGTTAAACTTTAAAAAGTAAAACAAAGTTAAACTTCATCACATTGATAATTAATAGATACCTTTATCTTCACTGACTATACTAGATGCTATTACTTGATAATGACCAGAATAGTAACCATGAAATTATCACCCATTAAATGTCTCTTGTACAATTGCCAAAAATTTTTATTCTTGTTCCATACTAGCATGCTAGTATCAGGGATCCACATGAGCACCCACAGGTTCAGTGCTTCACTAGAAGAACCTAGGATTACAACCACTCCTGGTTTATGACAGTGAAAGTATATGGTTTAAATCAGCAAAGGGAAAACATGCATGGCAGAGTTAGGAGAAACCAGGCATATATTTCCAGTGTTCTCCCACTAACGATGCAGGCACATTCAAGTCCCCTGATAATGAAATGTGCAGTGTTGCCAACCAGGATGGCCTTAGTATTCAGGGGTTTCATTGAGAATCAGTAATGGCCATACAGTATACTTGTGATTGAGACCCCCAGTACATGCCCATTAGTCGAATAGAGTATGTCCCTGAGCCACAGGCATACAAAAACAGGCATTAACTCTAAGATACATTGTTATCACAGACTAGTGTGGCCCAACACCTCAGGCATATAAAGACACTCTTACTGGACAGGCTACTCCAAGCACTCAGAAGTTACACTAACATTTTTTAATTGGAAGATTAAATGAATTATTTGATAAGCACTTCTGCATTAAACAAATTTGTTAACTTATAGCTGATTAGACATTGTGTGGACAAGAATAAATTTAAATGGTGATAATTACACTCAAAGAATACACATCCTATGGGTTATACTAGAAATTCTTAGAATCTTACTACAGAGGCAGATACTTACAAATACTGTAGAGCCACTAGGAGTCTGACCCCTTTTCTTCCATCTGGACTTGTAAAGAACCTGGTACTATCAGGCAGTAAACTAAGATGCTGATAGACTAGGTTATGCGCATGTACACACTCCCACTGCCCACACCCCTACGCTAGAAACCAAGTGGTCTTGGGCTGCATCAACATTTTCAGATCAAGAGAATTAATACTACTCCAATGCATCTTGTGTTCAGTTCTGAGTAGCATACCTCAAAGGTACTGACGGTAGAAAGACAATGAGGCAGAGCACAGTCAGGAAGAGACCCAGTCCAAAAGAAACAAGTGTTGAGCAATTGCATATGGTTAATTGGCGCAGTGAAAACTTAAGGAGGCAGTGCTTGGTAGTTTTCTTCAAATAATAGTGGTCAGAAACTTAGATGAGGGACTTTCCCTAGTGGCACAAATGGTTAAAGCACAACACTATGACACTCTCCAAATTCACTGCAGCACAAGTTCGATCCCCGGCCTGGGAGCTGACACATGTGGCATGGCAGACCTCTCCTGACCCACCTGCTGCTCCCCTCAGCAGTGTATTTCAGTCAATCTGCCTGTCCTGTTCCTCACTATGTCTCTGGTGAGTCCTCTCACCCCCCACACCTCTGGCCTGCATAAATAAATAAATCTTTAAAAAAAAAAAGAAACCTTAGATAAGTGAAAAGCAAAAGCAAGAACAAATATCCCATCTTAGTGCCTTATATGCTCTTAGTTAAGATAAAATGAAAGTGTCTTCAAAAGGAATCTTTCCTATGAACATAAATAGAAACAAAACTAAATCCCCAAATGTGCTCATGAGTATATAAAGTGCAGATTCCCAAGCTGCCTTCAATGGCTAAAAGAAAGGTGTTTGACACAGCTCACAGTTTCCTTCCTTGTTTTTGTTTTATTTTCTTCAAGGGAGAAAAGTATTTTTCATTAATCTTTTGAACACAATCACTATAATATTTTATATTTACCTTAGTAGTAAATGCAATTCATAGCACTTTTAGAACTTCACAATTTCATGGCTAAGGTTCTGATTAAGATAACATAGTTATCAACTTAGGGAAACTTTCTAAAAATTTAAAAGCAGCCCAACTTCTTTCAGGCTAATATTAATGACCAAGACTGTAATGACTATCACTGCTACAGCCTGAGTTTGATTCCTGCCAGGAAGTTAACCCACACGGGGCATGATAGCCCTCTCCTGTCTCACCTGCTGCCCCCTCAGCAGTGTATTTTAGTACACTGCTCTCCACTTGGTTGCTCTCCACCATGTCTCAGGTGAATCCTCTCACCCCCCACACTTCTGGCCTGCATCCTGGTTTTTCTATGCAAAAAATAAAATAGGTTGTGTGGGGAAAATAAAAAAGAGCAGGCCCTCAGGTTTTATCCTTTTCAGTATGTTGTTGAGTATATGAGCTGGATTATTGGCCTATCTTCAAAACTAGACTGATAAAATATGTACTTTATTACTTGCAGAGCTTAATAGTCCACTCACAGATGAAATGCTCTATCGATCTCTACAAAGCCTGCCAAGTATATACTTGCAAGGAATGAACATCATGGTTGGATCTTTATTACATTTTTATTTTCTTCTAATGGTGTCTGCAGATTTGCAGGGGTTCTTATTGTGATGTTATTTTCATTTAATGGAAGAGATATTCTTCTTCAAATCTTTCTAAGAAAACTCCACAAGAGAAAGCTGGATGAACAATATTTTAAATTAGAAGATGAAGAAGTTGGGGCCCTCTGGTGGTGCAATGGGTTAGTAAGCGCAGCGAGGGCAGCACTGTGACTAGCCTCATCCGCCTAGGAGCAGCTTAGAGCCCCACTGGGGAGGTGACCCACAAGCCGCAGACCTCTCAGGCCTCTCCCACTGCTCCCACTGCTCCCCTCAGCAATGTACTTCAATCTGCCATGTGGGTCACCTCCGGGACGGGGATCAAACTCATGCTGAAATGGCTTTAGCTCCTTAGTGCTGTGCTTTAGGCCGCTGCACCACCTGGGAGGGCCCACATAGAGACCTTTTTGCACTGTGGTTAAGGGCACCGATGATGGAATCCATAGTGGGGTGTGGACTGCATAGTTTGGCTTCCTCTTTTGCTACTTGCAAGTAATGTGATCTTGGCCATGTTATATCACTTCTCTGAGCTTTAGTTTTTTCTTATCTGCAAATTGTTCCCATGGTACTCAAAGAGTTGATACGAAAATGACTATGTGAAGCACTCAGAATAGAGCCAGGTATAGAATCTGTTATCAAATTCAATTGTGGTCCATATGTAGTCAATCTCAGATTACTTTGCTGAGTTAATTCTTTGCTATTGGATAAATGGAGATTCATTAACATTGTGAGATTATTTTCTCCTCCATTTTTACATATTTTCTTTCATCCTTCTATTAATAACTAGAAGAAAGCTAAGGATACAGACTCTGAAGTTCTGCTTTCACTCTAATTCTTAAAAAAAAAAAAAGACTTATTTATGCATCCAAAACTGGGGTAAAGGCCAGAGGTGCAGGGGCAGTGAGAGGCTTCACCAGAGACAGACAGAGTGGGGACCAGAACAGACAGACTGATGAAGTACACTGCTGAGGGGAGCAGCAGGGGAGACAGGAGAGGTCTGCTGCGCCGTGTGGGTCACCTCTGGGGATCAGGATTGAATGAACTCTCACTGAAGCAGCTGCGGCTAGCTTGTAGTGCTGCGTCCTAACCCATTGTGCTTGCAGGGAGGGCCCTCACTCCAATTCTTATCTTGGCTCTGCTGCTTCTGTTTTGCAGACTAGGTTAGTCGGTGAACAGGCACCGTTAGTTACCAAAAAGGAGTTCGCTTTTGTTGAACTCATGCCTGGCGTATAATAAGGATAAAAAACTGTCTAACCATAAAGGAAATTAGGAATTCTATGTCATGTATGAATCCTATGCCAGGAAATCGTAGGAATGGAAGTTGTATCTCTCATCTGTCCCTATTTATGATCTAGCAGATGCACCTTTAGCAGTGAATTAAATTTGTGTGATAACCATTTCCAAGAAAAAATGCTTCCCACTCTCCATGCAATTATCAGTAATTGACTAGAAATTGCTAGCCTTATACTAATGATAGTGGTTGCACTCTGCTGAGCATTCTATAAACCCCAAGAGCATGTGATTGAGCTAGAATGAAATGTCTCTGATTTACACAGAACAGAGACCACATTGCTTTATCAGGCAAGAGAGGACCCATGTGGTGATCTACAATAATTAATCAATGAAGAAGCAAGCCTGGAGACCCCTCTCCAAGATCAATCTTCATTTAATTTTTAGCCCAAGGCTTCTCTCTCTTTTTTTTTTTTTATTCATAATCACTGAAGCACTGTAGAAACATATCTTTAAATATCTGGAGTGTGACTCACTTTGTTTTATTACAATATGGTATTTGCGTGTGTGCAATGAAACTGTAAGCAAGAACTTATAAATTTTAGCTATTCCTCATCCCCCCCCCCCCCAGTAAACTTATGATATATTTGTGTAAAACACAAATCATCTTCCAGGAGATCCTTGGAGGAGAAGAGAGAAGCCCTGTGATTTACTTAGTAAACATTTTTTTCATCATTTAAAGGATGCAGCAAGGCATGTTAATGGAATAATAGCAGTCTTTATATGACTGGACTGAGGTACACTCACCCTGTTTGCAAATGACGTGTCTATGTGAGATACTTGAAAACAGCAAAAGGCATGATGGCATCCATCTAACCTACTCCCAAATATGAACGAACATTCATCCAAGTCAGTAATATTATGTTTTGTGAAGCAAAATAAAATTTCACATATTAACTCTATTTTAAGGACCTACCAAAAAGAATTAAAAAAAAATTTTTTTGAGGGATCTCCCTGGTGGTGCAAGGGATTAAATCTCAACACTATGAAGCTGTCTGAAGCCCCTGAAGCATGAGTTCCATCCCCTGCTGACCATCACTACACAGCAGACCTCTCCAGTCTCACCTGCTGCTCCCCTCAGCCTTGCATTTCAGTCAGTCTGCCTGTTCTGCTCCCTACTCTCTCCCTGGTGAGTCCTCTCACCACACCCCAACCCCGCCACACACCAGTTCTTCTACGCATAAATAAGTCTTTTAAAAAATTATTTTTGAAATAATTTCCATCTTAAGTTACTGTTTTTAGGTACATAAATTTATTTGGTTGTAAGAAGAAATTACTGTCTTATGATTTAGATATTTTTTAGGATCTTAAAGCTTTATGGTAACAATAAAATTAATTGGAAATCAGTGATGAGTGCTCATAAGCAAGCCATATTTCTAATTCATCTTTCTTTTGTTTATATCCAGGGAGATTTCTGGCCTTTTCTCCAGGCTCTGTTCAAATCAATACTCTTTTTTAAATCTGGTTTGTGTTGTCCTAATGGAATTTCTTCTGACTGGAATTGACCCAAGGTGAATGTATGTAATGGTCTCAGCTGGAGCAAAAGGTATAACAGGCTTACATGATTATATACTTCTGATAATTATATAAATTCTCTACAAATGGATTTTTTAAGTGATATGAATTTTATATAACATAAAATTAACCATTTTAAAGTGAACAATTCCGGAGCATTTAATATCATAATATTTGCACATTTCCATCTATATCTAACTCCAAAATATATTACCATCACTCCAAAATAAAATCTCGGATCCACTGAACTTATTCATATCTTTACTATTGTAATTAAACTGTCCCTTCTCTCCAGGCCTGGTAACTACCAGTTTGTTTTCTGTTCCAATGATTTTAAAAGATACTTTTAAAATTGTTTCATGTTTGCCTTCCAACTCATGAAGGGCAGTTATGTGTTCCCTGATTGTGTTTACAATTCCCAAAACTATATATGATTTGCATAATCTCTACTTTCCAGACAGTTTTTCAAATTTTGTGCCCCTCCCTTTTATTTTATTTATTTTTACATCATTCTTCATTTTGTGCATTTTTCCATCTCAGTTGTAATCCCCATGGGCTTCCCACCACCAAGTCACCTGTGTGCCATCACCATAATCCAGTGTACTCGTTCCTCCCCAGACCCTTTCTTCAATTCAGTGAGGTAAATTCTAAGTATCCTGGATATTGTCTTTTAAGGAAGTGTTTCTGTAATATTCTCTTGTTTCTAGGCCCTTTGGCACTGAGCTACAGAATTCTTTTTCAAAATTATTATTTTTTAAAGATTTATTTATTTATTTGTGCATACACAACTGGGGTACAGGCCAGAGCCTCAGGGGCAGTGAGAGGCTTCACCAGAGACAGAGTGGGGAGCAGAACACGCAGATCGACCAAGTACACTGCTGAGGGGAGCAGCGGGCGTGTCAGGAGAGGTCTGCTGTGCCATGTGGGTCAGCTCCAGGACAGGCGGGGATGAAACTCATGTGGAAATAGCTTTCGATTCTTAGTGCTGTGCTTTAACCCACTGCACCACCAAGAAGGGCCCTCCCTGGTGGTGCAACAGGTTAAAGCACAGCATTATGGGGCTGCCACAGCCATTGCAGCATGGGTTCAGTCCCCAGTCAGGGCGGTGACCCACTTCACAAGGCGCAGCAGACCTCTCCTGACACGCCCGCTGCTCCCCTCAGCAGTATATTTCAGTCAGTCTGCCTGTCCTGCTTCCCACCCTGTGTCTGGTGAAATTCCTCACCCCCCCCCCCACCCCACACACACTTCTGACCTATACCCAGTTCTGTATACATAAATAAACAAATCTTTTTTAAAATAATAATTTTTAGCAGGAATAGAGGTGACCACTCAGAGTTGCATCGGTGCAAGCTGAGTTTGGAGCTGCCGCCAGCCGCCCCAATCCAATGCCAGAAGCAGCAGGGTTAGGAAGTCAGAGAAGACCAGATTTTGGCTAATGGGACCTGGGGCTGCTCGTGTTTCTGTGACAGTGAAACCTGGTGAGGAAGGGGTGAAAAGGGGGATGAGAAGGTATTGAGTTCCTCAAGTGAGGGGACTTGCTTGTAAGTAGTCAACATGGGAGAGGAAAAGGAGCATTACTGAGGCAGACAGGAAACCAGGGCTCAAATTTCAGTTCTGCCACTTCCTGTGTAACTGACAATAGGCAAGGGTCTTACATTTGTCATTCTGAAGCTCCATCTTTTCATTTGTAAAATTGTGTGTAGAATGGGGGGTACCCCAGGACCCCCAAACCTGCCATCTGTCACATACACAGAGACAAAGCAAACACTTAGTATGAAAGAACTTCAACAAGATAATGTGCAGAGAAGAAAGGATAATAGTTTCCCAATAAACATGTAAAGTTATCCATTCCCTGGTGGGAAATACCTCCAAAAATCTAAGGCACATTCTGATGGGGAACCCTAGGAAAGAGACAAGGCAAATTTGGGGCAAAAAGAGCAAAATCAGTGCAAGTCAAGGTAAACAGATGCCAATGTCAGCCGCCCCTGGATGGCACACTCATGTCTCCCCGAGTCTATCTTCACATTTCCACACCACATGTGTGCTCCAGGTTCCCAATCCCTTGGTTCAAGCCCAAAGCCAAGAAGCAAGCAGGCCCTCTTTCTTTATATGCCTCTAATGCACGTGCCTGCTTGTTTCTTCCAAGTCCCCTTGCCACTCAGCTCCATCCTGCATTAGGTGGGGCAGGGAACCTGGAACCCCCTTTCTTATGGAGATCACACTGTGACAAAGAGTGTAAAACACTGCCCCTAAAGAGTGGCTGTGAGTTTAAATGAGATAATGCTGTATTTACTGCCTACGATGGTGACTGACACAGTAAATTGGGACTGAATAAATCATAGCCACTGTTAATAAGTCTCTCTGGATCTCATTGCTTGGTGACTGAAAGTTGTCCTGGATATAATCAGCCTGGCTTGCAGAAGGTTTCGCCACAACCCACTCTCACTTTGTTGTACTGATCTGTTCTAACAGCGGCTGTGGCAGCTTCTTCCTCTTCTCGGTGCCTAATGATTATGAACACCATATTTCTCATGTTACTGTCATTGTTCTGATTTAACAATTTATAAGTGCCCTAAGATGTTTTTAAGGTCTTTTTTTTAAATAAATAAATTTATGGCAATTAGCAGCAAGTCATTAAAAGTAAGAAAAAGAAATTAGAGCCAAAGATTATGTAATGGAAAAGAATCCATTAACCAAATGTATTCTTAGAAGCAACAACTATTGTTGATGTTGCAAACCCATCTATTGACTTTATTGTTCCTTAATAAACCCTAAAAGATATTTTGATCATTGTTATTGCACAACCAACAGATTTCCTTTTACCAAAGTCGCATTAATTATCTTTGAAAGGCAGACAAGTGCCCTTAGCCAGAGGGACCAAGAATAACGATATTGCTCAGGACACAGCAAGCTCCAGCTTGACCAGCATTATCTGAGTCACATCTATATATCCCCTCATTTGTACTCTTCGTTCTGGAAGTTGGCATGGCATTAGAGATTTGCCATTTGATCCATGAACTTCTGGACACCAGAAGTAAGTAATCATAGAGAAGGCAGTTCCTTAAATCTGTACAAAGTTTGGTGTTTGTATTTTTCTAGGAAAAGCATTCATACCTTTCTCCAGTGGGGTCTATAATCCAAAAGAGATTAAGAATCATTCCAATGGAGGAAAATTCCCTGACTACTACCTTTTTCTACTTAAACACCTAGGTTTGCAGAAGTACAATCAGAGAAGGAATTTCAAAGAAGATTCTTAGGTTTATGAAGGACTTTTAAATCAGGTACATTTTGCTAGTTCATTCTCAGACATAACCAAGTGAAATAGTTAAATCTTTGTCCAGGCACAAAATGCATTGTCTTTCATTGACTGATTTGGCTTCCCTACCCCCTGCTGGGAACTGTCCACTTAAGTGTGTGATGTGCTTCAGACCAGACAGTCTTTTACAAATGCCCCAAGGCTTTGGCAAAGAAAACAACCAAATGAGGATTCACAGAGCAGAGAACACATGATTTCTGAATTTGGGGAGTAGTTGTCTCATTGAACCAAAATAGTGCTTCTCTCAGCTGCAGTTGTAAAAACCACAGAACACAGGTTATGTTGGTGAGATTCATGTGACTTTTAATTATCTTACTAATGCTTTACAGTAAGTATAAGGAATAAAGACAGAGATGGGTACAGGAAAAGAGAAAAATATCTTTCAATTTCTTTGAGCTATTGAAGCATGTGCTAAGGTAAAAACATTCAGTAAGAGCATCATGTCCTTATCACCACTGTGCTCTTAGTGGAGACTGATGACAGACACATGCCAATTCTTCATCTCTGCTAGAAGTGGCTGCTGGCAGAGAATAAATCCTCTGCAAACCTGGCACATGTGGAAGTCTAGGCGATGCAGCTGCTACATGGCGGGGGCAGAGCGGGGCAGAAGCAGCTGACTCTCCTGAACCTGCTTCCTAGCATGCGAGCAGGAACACGCGTGTGCCTTCTCTGGTCTACGTGTCCTTCCTCTCCCTCAGGGAAGGAGACCCCCACCAACAGTGCAGTAATGGGAAAACTGTTGGGCAAGGCTCTTTTAGAAAAGAGAAAGATTTCTTTTTTATATTTGCTGGTGGTTGACTGACCAGAAGTAGCTTTTACTTTGGGCAGCAGCACGATGTTTTTGTAATTAAAATATCCTACACTTAGCACTCTTAGAAGGCATAGGAGAGTGGCAACAAGGCCTCTTTAGGGCAAGGAGAGAATTTTGATATGAATTCTAAGGGTGAGGGCATAAACAGCTAATTTTATATCACCACAATAAACTGACACAGATAAGTGAGACCTTGGTGTTTTCCATTCAAATAAATACTCACCTCTTCTAGCTTTTACTACTAAATCTATGGTCAGTTTAATCACAGTTTGGGATGACTATTACTGTGCATCTAAAATTAAGGTAAAAAGCTACATTAATGTTTTCTAATTAAGTGACTTTGAATAATATGAAAGCCTAAATCTAGGGACTCTTCATTGTTGGTTGGAGCAACCATTGAAACTTACCATTGCCATTTTTTTAACCTACAGAAATAGAAGGATATGAAATGGGTAGGGAGAAGTCATTACATGAATCATAGAAAGGGTCAACATGCGTCTAACTTTACCCATTGAGCAAAGAGAACTAACGGGGTAAATTCTTTTGAGAAAAATCTAAATGCATTTAAAAGGGAAAACTACTACACTCACTTTTTTTTTTTTTTTTTTTAAGGATATATGGAGTAGAGGGGACAGGAAGGAACACGTCCATTAAACAAACCTCTATCATTTGTGGGGCAGTTTTATCAGTGTCCTTGGGTGTGGACCATTGGTTTATCTTTGGCAGTGATCTTATGTTTTAGGTGTTGAAAGTGAGATTACACAGCTGGGTAATAGCTGGGTACAGTGAGTGGATACAGATTTTAATCTCAATTCACAGCAAATGACAATGATCACAGATTTAGCACCTTAAATTTGTACTTCCTCTGTACCTGAATCAGCCATCGCTGTGAAGCCTGAGCCTTAGGTGAGAAAGGTGAACTCTTAGATAACTCTTCCGTGATTGCTCTAGGATAGCAGTTTGCTCCAATCTAAGGGGTGTTTTCCTATTAGAGAAAGTGTTGAATACTAAATGCAAGACTGAAGCTTTGAAAATGTTTTACAGCAGTGACATGTATTTTGGTTTAGGAATTGGCTGTTTAACAAGTCAAATGCATATTATCCCCTCTAAGCATGAACTTTTTTTATGCAACAGAATTATATTTTTTGGCTTGTAATGCTGCTTTCTTCTATATTTGTTTTCTCGATTTTCTTAGTAGCTACTGCTGTCTCCTCCAATATTTCTTCAAAACTTTCCTCTATCTGGGAGGTTTTCTTAGAGACTGCCTTAGAAGCCTCCTCCTCTTCCTCCTTCTCCTTCTTAAGAGAGAGCCCAGTGGATGAGACCTTGGAGGTTGTAGAACTGAGAATTCTGGGTGGGAGAAGATAACCTGGATTGGGAAGTGGATTCAACCCTGAAATGCTTAATCCACTGGCGCTGAAACGTGTCTCTTCACCTTCCAGCAGTTTCCTGTAAATCCAACAGAGAAAAACTTTTAGGAAGTTAACTTGCAACATTTTTTTTTTCTGACTTGCAACATTTTTAAAAAAGAACTCTCCAGGTAGGTCCTGTGCACTTTAGAACTATTCTGTAAGATTTCATAGTTTCTTCATGAGACTGGCACCAATAAATACTGAATTACAGACTTGGAGTTTACTTGCATTTGCACATATATGTCTGATGCATGTATGTGTGTCTGAAAACAACATACACACCCGTTAGCACCAGCTGTATTTAAAGTACAGGGGAACTCTATCCTATTCACAAATATATTAAAAAAAAAAAAGTGTAATGGCCTCACTACACTCATTTTTGGCTCTTAGGAGTCTATAATGCTCTAAGGAGAAGCAACTTTGCTAATTCACACCTTAAGTGCAATAAGGATAAGGAGGTGAAAAATCCACAAAAGAGGAAAGAATTGCTTAATTCAGCCTGAACTTGAGATTTGTACTTCATCAATGTATAGGATAATAAGGGAATGGAATGGGATTGAATCTGAGCTCTCCCATTTACTAGCACTGTGATTTTGAGAAAGTTATGATATCAATATGGGGCTCAAGTTTCCTTATGTGCAAAATGGGAATTACATGATCTGATGCCTAGATAATTCATGTGTAATAATGAATATGGTGTATGGCACATGGCAGTCATTCAAAATAGCTGCTCTTATTATCTAAAGGACTTCAATGCTGCCTTGACTAAGAATCCAGAGGGATACCTTACCTATTAAGACTTTCTATTTGTATAAATCCTATTTTTAGAGTCTGGTGGATTTTATTTCAGACTCTGTGTACTCACCTAATCTCCTTATATCCTTGCAAAGGGAGGTGGAGTACTCCAAGAGTAGTAAAATAAAGCTGGGCTGTCCAAATTGAGGGACAGAGGGTATGCTGACCTAGAAGGGGCCACTGGTATTTTTCCCCATCCCACCTTACCATTAGAAGTTGGAAAGACTAGAACCACATATCTGGGTAGTATTACCCGGGGTGACTGGCTCAGCTTGAGTGAGCATTCCCTTTGAAAGTACCTGTAAGCTGCTATCTCAATGTCAAGAGCCATTTTGACATTGAGCAAGTCCTGGTATTCCCGAAGGTGGCGTGCCATCTCACTCTTGGTGTTTCTCAGATCATTCTCCAGCTGCCCAATGCTATCCTGAAAATCAACACATCCAAAAGGTGTGGGCCAAGCCAGACAGAAACTTAATGAGATTTATACAAAGGAAGAATTCTCAACTCTGAATATACATTAAGATGCCCAGTCATGCCACGCCCCATTCACTCAGCTCAAATTCTGTTTCCTCTGTTCAGGGTTGAGGTCTCAGTACTTGCCTTTCCCAGGAGGTTGGATGCAAGGTGAGAGTTGGGAGCTCCTGCCACAGGCACATGGTTTTCAACTGAACACCAGGTAGAGCTTTCCGATTTGTTTATGTGCCTTCACTCCCTTGTATCTTGAATTGCTGTAGCCTAGTTATTGCATTTTCTTTCCAAAACCTAATGCCTCTGGTTAAGAGATAAGATTCATAAAATTCCAACTTTCAAAAGCATGGAGAAGGCAGCAAATAAATCTTCTCTACCTCTATTTGTTTTGATGGTTTCCAGAAAGTCTGCTACTCAGTTATTTACTAAAAGTATTTTACATGATAGATAAGAAGAATGACTTCATAGAGCTTTTTAAAAATCCAAATGGGCACCTTCCTGCTTGTGCAAAGGATTGTCTCAACACTATGAAGTGGCTGCAGTCACTGCAGATCGAGTTTAATCCCTAGCCAACAAGCTGACCACATGGTAAAGCAGACCTCAACTGTCTGTCCTGCTGCTCCCCTCAGCAGTGTAGTTCAGTCAATCTGCCTGTTCTGTTCCCTACTGTCTCATCTCCAGTGAATCCTGTTCTGCTCCCCACTGTCTCCTGTACCTCTAGCCTACACCCCACTTTTGTGCACATATTTAAATAAATCTTTCTTTCTTTTTAAGATTTATTTATACAGAACTGGGGTACAGGCCAGAGGTGCAGGGGCAATGAAAGGCTTCAGCAGAGACAGAGTTGGGAGCAGAACAGGCAGATCTATGAAGTACACTGCTGAGGGGAGCTGCAGGCGGGTCAGGTGAGGTCTGCCATGCCATGTGGATCTCCTCCGGGGGGGCCGGGAATTGAACTCATGCTGAAGTGGCTTTAGCTTCTTAGTGCTGTGCTTCAACCGGCTGTGCCACCAGGGAGGGCCCTAAATAAATCTTTCAAAAAAATCCAAATGGCAGACCAAGATAATGTTTTTCATTTTAAAAGAAACTAAATTAATGAATAGTTTTTCTCCAAATTCTTCCAGGTACACATCCGAGCATAAAAGAACAGTACCTTTAAATCTGTGATTCTTGAACACTGAGGAGGATGTTTTTTTTAACACAGAAAATCTTATTTCTCACCTGCTTAAAATCCTCCAACAACCATGGCATAAAGTCCAAGCTTCTCAGTATGGCCTGTATGCTCCCCTTGCTCATTGTATTTCAGATACTTTTCTCTGTTCTTCCTCAAGCTTAGCAAATTCATTGATGTCCCAGACTTGTGGGGTTTGCTATTAGCTCTGAAATGCTCTCTACAGGGTCTTTACATGGCTCGGTGTCACAGAAGACAATTTGAATTTTGCTGCTTAGAAAGATCTCCCCCAGCATCCAATGCTCTTCACACCAATCTAGCCCATTCTGTTATGTCAAGCCAGAGCACCTGCTAGCCCATGAAGAAACAGTGTGAAAACTAGGAAAAGCCATGTCCAGTGGGAGGGCAGATTAGGAAAAACAAAAAACAAAAAAACAAACATAACTTGAAAGTGGCTATTAATTCTTAGCTCTTAATATTATCTGAAATAATTTTCACTTATTAGCTTACTAGTTTATTTTCTGCCTGCTTCCTTTCTGGCAGGGCTTTTCATCCTTGGCACTACTGACAGTTAGAGCAGGATGATTCTTGGTTGTGGGGGTTTGCTGGGTGACATCTTAGGATGTTTAGCAGCATCCCTGACCTCTACCCTTCCCTCCTACTTGTCACAACCAAAAATATCACCAGGCATTCCTATACATCTCCTGGGGGGCAAATTCCTTCTGTTAGAGAACTACTGCTCTAGATTGGGATTAATATAAAAACAGGACTCTGTGTCTAGAAGAAAGACATGAAGCCCAGAGCTTTGTACAATGCACACTGTAGATGCACAGTTATTGAATGAATGATGCTACAACATAAGTGCTCTTTTCTTATGTTCAAAAGATGTAAGCAACTAGCTCGTAAAATTCAGCTGCAATTTTGTTAACACGAATAGCATAGTGATTAATGAGATGATATAAATAAACAAATCAGAAACCTCAGGAATACTGTAAGTACTGAGACCTTGTAAATGCACTTGTGTGAGGGATGATGAAGTGCAGAGCTGATACCTCAGGAGGTGGGTGAAACTTCCAAATCAGGATATTCTGCGGCAAAAATTAAAATTCATACCATCTACCTGTTCTATAATTATTGACAGGAATACTGAGAAAAGAGACTCAATTGAATGATAGGTACAGGGTAAGGAATAATAAACAGTGGGAGGAAATACCTGTTACACTGGGCAGTGATGAAAATTGTTCAGTGTGTTGAGAAGTCATGAAGGCTTGGTAAAAAAAAGAATTTTTACCAAAAAATTTTACTTGATGGTCGCTATATGATTTTAGACTAACCTATGAATAAATCAGCTAATGATGCAGTTGGGAGGACAAACAACATTACTGAGGTGAGGGGGGAAACAAACGGGAGAAAGAGGAGAAAGTATTTTCATTATGCAAACAAGCAGAGATGTTAAATGAAACAGAAATTCAATAACATGAGGAAGGCTTCATTTCTTGCCTTGGTACAAACATACAACATACCTCAGTTTCCTTTATTTTAGTTTCTTCAAAGCTTACATTTTTGCACATGGAAAATCATACTGTTTATTCTTTTCTGAGCTGTTCTGAAATGCTCATGTTAGGATTCCACTTGAATGCCCCTCACATCATATGATAGCAATAATAAAGATAACGAGTCTATTGCCTGTTAGATTAGATAACGGGCATAGGAACAGTATGTGGCACACTGAGCGCCTCCATGTTAGTGATTTTTTTATTGTTGTTCATGTCATACCATGCGACATTCTACCTTTTTAATGATATGGGCAAGTTAATTATGAACTCTCCCTACAGCTCCCTAGATAACTACAACTAATATTGGTAGTAGGAGGCACATCCCTTAAAGCATCAGGTTTTTAAAAAGTCATAATTTTGAATAAAAACCTAAAGTAGTTTATGTCACCCTTAATTTGGACATCAAATGTAGCACTTTCTCAGCAAGTAAGGGAAATGATAATGATAAATTATTTTTCTGTAATTTGGTCATGTCTTTTACCTGGTAGGTCAAATGAGTATTTCAGGCTCTTTGTTTCTACACTAACTGGCCCCAATATCAGTGTTTGAATTAGTGTAATTAGTGCTCTTTATTATTTTTATTTTTCATCCTGAAGGTTGAACAGATCTGTTGCTACCCATTCTTGATAATAATGTCTGACTCCAGGTCTCTGTTTTGTCTTCAGCACATTTGTGATTCAAATAACAAAGTGCTGTAGAGTCAAGTAAAGTAGGAATGAACAGGCTGGGGCATCAGAGGGGCAAATTTCCCAAGACACTATTTAGAGACAGATGTTTTGGGTCTTTAGTAGGTTCCTGAGGTCCTTTTTAAAAATTTTGTTCACACACACACAAAAATTGTTCACAGTTGAATATTCTGAATAAAAGGTTGTTGGGGAGCTGAGTTCTGGATGGGTGAGAAATTCTTGAATTGTCATGTTACACATTTCACATGTCCATTTTATGGATCAGAGTGGACAAAATGCATGACTGTGCTCCTTGCCGGAGGAGTGGTCTGACTGCTGACCAATGCTCTCTTCTAAGCCTCCTCTTTGTTTGCATTCCCTTCCCCACCCCAGGCAGTGTCTTGCATTGCCCTTCAAAAGCCCTGCTAAAGATGGCCTCCAGCTCGGAATCTGAGCAGAGCGCTGCAGTCTGCCCCCTCCCCCCACCACGCAGCTGCTGCTAACATAACCTGAGGGGATGGGAAACGGGAAAGAGGTGCTCCAGCTCCAGCTGGGGTCTCTCCCAGAGTAGCTAAGGCTGGTGCTTAGCATCTTTGTCTGGGTTTGGAAAAATGGAGGAAAGAACTGGCCACACTAGCATCTGCAGCAAGAACAATAATGACAAACATGCTGTGAATTCCATCACTTTGGGGGGCCCCAAGCAGGTACTCTAGCTAGTGCCATGAATCTGACTGTGAGGGAGGCTGCCATCCAGAATGACTTCTGCAGAAGAAAGTTAGGTGGAAAAAGGCTTTTTTTACAGTGGTCTACCCATCAGGTCACAGTGCATGCCTTACTCTCCCTGCTTGCTTTATCCCATCTTTTCCCCTACTATGCTTTAATAGCTTGCATTATATATAATCTCTGTTAGCAGGCTTTACACTGGAAAAAATGATTTTTCTCAGTGAACCCGAAAATCATTCTCATGCATGATAAGATGTAGAATTTTTATTGGAAACATGTGTTCCTGGGTCCCATTCATGAACTACTGAATCCGTATCTTTGAGAGTGGGCTTAAGAATAATTTTTTAAGCCCTTGAGTGACTGTGGTATATCAGTGGGTTTAAAAATCACTAGTTCCAATTTATTTCAGTAAACTAGCTATCATGGATGCCCAGGTGGCAATACAAAGAGCTAGAGAGGGGTAAAAATTAAACGGAGACAAAAAGCACATAGAAGAGTTTAAAAGACCAAAGGTAGTTTTTTTTTCCCCCTTGAATTCTAATTTCAGAAATGGATCTATCAAGCTATAGATTGATATGTAGCCACTGCCAACCCCAATCGCCAAGGGACCAGCCCCTTGCAGCTATTTAATTAGGCTCTATTCTAATATCATGCTGGAGAGAGGAAGGCACTCTTGGCTCAACTCCCTGGAGGGCATTAACTAATGACTTTCTTGATTGTTCAGCAAGGTCTTTCAAGGAAAGCTTCAGCTTTCCAAGACTGACCATAGTACAGGTCAGGGTCCCGGGTACACATTAAGAGCCTTAGGAACCTCAGACAGCACTGGGACTCTAATGTGGTGAAGCACTTATACAGGAAGCATAACTGTCTTGTGTCAGAAATGTAGAAGGCTTTAGCTAAGGCTGCACTTGACAGGGTAGCGCTTCAAATTTCTCCTGTTGCCTGATTCATACTCCCTCAGACACCATTGTGCTTGTACTTACTATGTCACCTTGAATCATTCTTCACCCTTTCAAAATGTAATAAGCTTTCTCTCTTTAGATAGGCTGTCAGCTCTCTAGGGTAGGGAAACATGACCTTAATGGGGTCTTAGATGGTGGCAAGCTTGCAAAGGAAAATGGACCTGTCACTAATCTCTTTAGCAGAAGAAAAAGAACAGACTACCATTAATGTAGTGAAAGGAAGGGGGAGGGGTGATAGGGCAAGAAAACAATGGCGGAATGTCACTGTGGAGGAAGCTCCACAGTACTGCTAAGATTGTTAGAAAAGACAGAGGACAGCCCCATGATTTCAGGATCTGCAGTTACAGCTGAGTTGCTCCTCAGCCTTGGGTTCCCAGAAACAGGAAATTGTGCCCTGTTATCTGATATCTTCCACTCCACCAGAAGGTCCACTGAGGCTCTGAGGGCTAAAGCTGATTGGGGGGGGCAGCACTGCAGAGCTGCAGATGTGCAGTTTGTGGTTTTGTTTCCTGCAGACTATGTTTGGATGACCCTTCTATTGTCTAACACTTAACATTTTAAAGCAAAGTCTAAGCAAGTCAGACAATATTGCCACTACTTTTTAGAATGTAGGGCCAAACAGAGATGACATGCTCAGTTCAGATGGCAGCTGTAGGTAAATTATCTCTTTTTTTTTTTGGTAAAAATACTGGGCGAACCTTTCAGAAGACCACCTACATCATTCTTTGAGGCTTCTAGGACATGAAGTCTCATTGACTAAGTGTGACTAATTTGTGCCATCCAGGAGCTAGGCCACATAATGAAAAGTTTGAGTTATAGATTTTGATATGTAATGAAAGTCTTTATTTGAATAGTAATGTAATTCCAAACCAATGAAGATAAAGAAAAGCAAGTTTTCTTCCTTTAACAAAGGGAATAATTCATAATAAACAGCAAATAACCTGGACACCAATAAAATTCTAACTCTGGGCTCAAATAGTACTTTTGAGCTTTCACCACTTTCTTGTTTCTATTTTATTAATGTTCCCAAACCAGACTAACTTCATCAAATGTAATCTTCAATCTTGGTTAGAGTGAAATCATTGCAAGTTTCATTATGATTAGCATTCTAGCCAATGGAGATTTCATTATAGCTAGAGTCTGAACCACACAATACAGATTTCTACACTTTTCCCCCTGCTTCTGTGCCCTTTGTGGTCATTCATCCAGAAACATCCTACATAATAAAACTGAAGAAGCAGTGGCCTTTGTTTGAAAAGGATGAAAAAGCCAATCGATACCTTCATAGGAGTTTACAGACAGGCAAAGATGGAAAAACTAAGTGACCTATCGCAAAGATTTATTTGTGTTTTACTATATAGACTTAGGATGGAAAATGTTAGGAAATAAAGCATTTTTCAAGTGGGACCTCACTGCTGCTGAGCAGATTCAACGGTTTCTATTAAGCGCTAAGCCATCCATGAAAGTGAAAATTAATTCTGTACACATAGTGACCTTTGATTGCAGGTAGTCAAGACTGATGCGTTAGTGTTTACAGAAGGAAAAAAAAATCAAAGGAGTTAATTGCCTAGAGTGTCATAATTGGGACATCAGACTGCAAAGACATCATTTCGCACATCGCTAAATCAGCACCGAGGACAGCGCTCTGGCCGTTTTTCGTTTAGCTAGTGGGTATAGCACTTTCGTTAGGAAATTACCATCAGTAGGTCAACAAGGAAACGTACGTTTGTGTATGTGTGCGGTGTGTGTGCGAGCACATGCGCACACGTGTCAGTTCTATGACTTTCAATCTCTACTCCTTTAAGGGCAGCATCAGTAAAACGTCGAAGGACCCTTCCCAGTAAGGTGCACACGTTTTTCCTTTTCACCCTATAGCAGACTATACCCCCTGCCTATTAATCCCAGGACGCAGAAAAAGCCTATCAAAGTCAACCAAGTAAGCTAGGCAGCCTATACACAGCACAATCAACCAGGAGAAGATGTAACCAAACTCCAGTGAGCTCGCTTCGATTTGGGTGGGGAATTGTTCTTCGGGTGACCAGGGTTTTTATGACCACTTGCTAACAAGAAGGCATGCACTAAATTTGGGACTCCGAAGAACAAAAGCTTAAGGGTTTCTTTGTCTCAAGCAAGGACATAAGCGAGGGGCTGAAAAAAAGAAAGGTCGGACTCCTAAAATCAGCGGTGGAGACCCCAGGGCTTTTCTTTGCCACCACTCCCAGTCGGGGCTGTTCCTGCCTACTAGTTTGTTTCTCCCCTTCAGTCGGGGCTGTTCCTGCCTACTAGTTTGTTTCTCCCCTTCCGCCCCAATTGTGCAGGAGAGCGCATGTATGCATCCTCTCCATGCAGCACTCCAGCCTTTACCTGGTAGCTAGCCACCTCCGCACTATGGCGCTCCTCCAGCTCTAGGATCTGCCTCTCCAAGGACTCATTAGCCCCACGCAGCCCTTCAATCTCGATAGTGCGCGCCTGGAGCTGGCGCCGGTACTCGTGGATCTCCTCGCGGCTGGCCCGAATAGCCTCGGTGCTGCGCGCTGCCTGCTCGTTCAGGTTGGCAAACTTGGATTTGTACCACTCCTCGGCTGACTGCAGATTCTTGGCGGCCAGGGACTCATACTGGGCACGGATCTCCCTCAGCGCCGAACTCAGGTCTGGTTTGGCCACAGCCACGTCCACTTCGACAGCGGCCTGTGACGACGCCTGCAGAGTAGCCAGCAGCTCAGCCACCTCCTCGTCGTGCACCTGGCGGACAAACGCCAGCTCGTCGAGCAGCGACTCTACCTTCTTCTCCAGATCCAGGCGGGCCAGCGTGGCTCCGTCCACGTCGCGCTGCTGCGCCTTTAGGGCGCGCTCTGCACCTTCACGCCCGCGGCTCTCCTCCTCGCAGCGCGCCCTCAGACGCTGCACCTCTTCAGCTAGCCCATCGCGTTCCAGCAGGGCCTGCGCGCGCGCCGAGCTCGCCTCCTCCAGCTGCGCGCGCAGGTCGCGAAGCTCGCGCTGGAAAAGCTCGCCGACGCGCGACGGCTCGGCGTGGCGCTGCCGCAGCGCGGCCAGCTCGGCCTCGAGCGCCCGGTTCTGCGTCTCCAGCTGATGCACCTTCTCAATAAACACGGCGAAGCGGTCGTTAAGGCCTTGCAGCTGCTCCTTTTCGTTGGTGCGGATGATCTTGTATTCGTTAGTGCGCGCGGCCGCCTGGCTCAGGTCCAGTCCGTCGGACGCCGGCGACCGGCGGTAGGCCAGACCCAGGCCGAGAGACGAAGCCGAGGAGCAGGCGGCCGAGGAGGCCACATTACAGCGGGACAGCGACTGCGAGCGGAAGCTGCCCGCGCCGCCAACCCCGGATAGGCGCGAGGACAGGCGCGAGCCATCTCCGAACACCTTGCGGTAGGAGGAGGCGGCGCACAGGTAGTGCTCCGAGCCGAAGCTCATGGTGCCGAGAACAGGTCAGGCGTGCACTTACAGAGGAGAGCGCCAAGGAGAGGTGAGCTAGGCGGGGCGCGGCGAAGCGGTGAGCGCCGGGTTTTAAGGCGCCGGGGTTGGGGCGGCGCATTGAGGGCGGAGCTCCTGCTCGCGGGGAGAGGGAAGGGGGACATCCAGGAGCGGGGGCGGGGAAGCGCAGGGACTGCCGCAGCTGCGCGCGACAGACCTAGGGCACGCCGACAGTACCTTCTGCGTGGGAGTCGCCCCTTGTCCGCAGCCCCCTCCCCAAGGGTCCTTTGGTTTGGAAGTGATTGGAACAGAGGGGAACGTAAAGGACTGAGGTTCCCCACTCGGAAAACACACAACCCCGCCATGTCCCTGGATCCAGTCCTTGGTCCTTTCAGCCCTCCGGGAAGGTTAGAGTTTTCTGGAAGGTGTCCCGTGCACTCTTACCTCCCGCGGGTGAGGCCCTGGTTTTCCTAGTTAGATTAGGGGCTCGCACGGTGAGGCTTTGTCCGCTTTCTCAGCCCACTTGGGGTTCCTTAGGGAAAAGTTGATTACGTCAGATAGCATCTCTTAATCAGGTGTTCTTCTGCAGCTCCCGGAGCGTGCGGGGCGGGAGGCCCTGGAAAAGCCTGCGACGCCCAAAGGAAGAGAGGGGAGGCAGGTGAAGGTTGGGGGCCTGAGTTGCAGAGTGGAATGACGCAGAGGGAGGAAGCGGGAATGACAGCGATAGGCAGAGATTCCCCCTGCCATTTGTATAAGATTTTCTTCCCCTTTACCAAGGTCCCCACAAATTCCATTGAATTACGCTAATTTTAATTCATTTACTTAACTTCTCTGGCCGTGGAGGCATTTGAGATTCTGGCAGTGTAAATCCTCATCTGACTTGCCAGAGTCCCTTTCTGTGGATATCTTGCTTTGAAAAATAGAGGTCTTGCGAACAGATTAAGCACCAGTAGTGCTTTTCATGATTTTGGAATCTTGAAGATGTATGTCTAGGACATACCTAGTCTTCATGGAGCAGGGGGAAACTACCAAAGCAAGTGACTGAAAGAAGGAGAAGGAATCCTATGGCACTTTGGAGTGTGTGTCTTGGCTTTGTGCTTGATGATATGGAAGAGAGTAAGGCCCTGCCACAGCCTGCCCCCTGGTTCTTTATCACAGACCAAGGCCTGAGGCACAAGGACTTCACTTATTTGGATGCAGTAAGACTTGGTAAGATGAAGGACAGAAGAGTGATATTGCTGAATAATTACTTTCTGCTAGTCATTGTGCCAGCATCTTTGCATAGACTTACCTCTTCTGCCCCTTCTTTAAGGTGGCCCTAATCCCCATCTTACACATTAAAAACAGGCTCAGCTACAGCAATCTGCTTAAGGTTACTAGCAAGCAAACTTACATTTTTCCCCCTTACTACATAATTCTATTTCTTAAAGTGATGGGGCTCTTGAAGTGTCATTAATTTCCATGTAGCCAGAATAAGAAAAAAGGGGCTTTAGAAGAATTTTTGGTTAATAACAAGGTACTAGACTGATTCCTAATTGAAAATCAGAAATGTTGGGCTTGGATGTACTTATGAAGCTGTTGGGGATAACAGTGCCTCTCCAAGGTCCTGAAAAATTGAGCAAAGCATGTGGAGGTGCTATATAAACTGTAAAATGCAGGGGGTTAATGTCAAGGGAACACTTTTCTGCATCTGCCATCAACGGGATATGACCAGCGTGAGTTGGGTCCAGTGATGGGATTTCAGGAAACTGTTCACCATATCCTTGCACTGGCTTCCAGATGCCCATTGGGAGAGAGAATACAGCTAAATTGATTGTGGGACCAGGGCCAGGGTAAGTGTGGTTAAATAGAAACAGCCATAGGTAATCAGAAGGTCTTATTTCTGGATGATAGTTCCAATTTCATTTCAATCTCACTGAGGATTCTTAAAAATCAGCAAAATATTCTGGTAAGGGTTTCACTTTTTTTGTCTTGCCATCCTCCTGTAGAAGTAGTATTCCAAATGTAAAACACAGACAGAGGGAAAGAAACTGAGCTCTGAATAAATCCAACAATGGAGTGGTGGCCCTGAGAAGTTAGAATGGACTGCATATGTATATTGCATTTTGTGAACCGTTTACCTGAGACCCCCCCAGCCCCCCCACACCCCCCGGGAATTTAAACCTCCCCTTTCTTGGCATCCTATCACACAGACACAGATGTCTGGCTTTTAAAATTTTAGCACAAAGCAGAGTTACAATGGAGGATCTTGGCCGAATGTCAAACCACAACTCCATCCAGCTGGCAGGGTTTCGTGAGGGAGCATCCTGCCATATACAAGCATTTGGTCTTCATCTTCCTCTAATGTCAGACTCTGGCATTGCAGATTCTTTGGGTGACCATCCCAAGTTCTCCCTTGTGCCACATCCTTTGTGGTCTCTCTGTGGCATTTGGCATTGCTCACCACTCTCCTGGCTTTCAAGTTCTCAGTTATCAACTTTTTGCTCTTTCCTTACCAACTCATTTTTATATATTAGGTCTCTTGGATGCAGAGAGACTCATGGTAAAGTTCTGTCCTTGAGACATCAAGTTTTGATTCCTGGTTCTCTCTAGCCACGAGGCATTAGTTTTTTCATTTGTAAAATTGCAATGAAACTATTCACCTGAGTGATCTCCAAACCTGGCTGATCATTAAAAGTACCTGGGAACTTAAATTCAGATCCCAGGCTTTACCCCAGATTCATTAAATCTTGTTTTACGACCCTTTGACCTACTTCACAGATTACTGTGAGGTTAAAATGAAATTATGTACATAATACAGGCATCACAGTACCAAGGATGTTCAATAAATGGTAGTTATTACATATATTAACTTCTGTAGCTCGTTAGCTTGGCAACTGTTTGCTGAGTGCAAGACCCTAGACTAGATACTAGGACTAAGGCAGATGTGGACTCTGGCTCCTGGGACTGTTATTTTAATGAGTGACACTGAAATTAAACAGCTATTTACCCAGTTATTTGTTACCTATGATTGTGACATGCTTTTAAGTTGCTCTGGTGCATATAACAAATGGTCTGACCTATGCTAGAGATTCCTAAATCTGCTTCCAATTTACATATCCAGCTGCCTGTTGGACATCTCTTTATGGATACTAGCTGGCCTTAAATACCACATATCTAAATATGAATTTATCTTCTTCCTCTCTAAATGCAGTAGTAACCAAACAAAAATTTCCCTCCACTAGAAAACAGGCAACGTTTTACTAAAGGGGGTATACAAATGGCAAATAAGCACATGAAAATATGTTCAACATCACTCACAAGCCATGGGACATGGAAATCAAAACACTGACATACATATATACATACTAAGTGTGTCTGAAACAAATACTGACAAAACCAAGTGCTTTAAGGATTCAGGGTATCTGGATCTCTTATTTGTTGCTGGTGGGGGAAAATGTAAAATGGTACAGTGTTTAATAAACACTTGGCAGTTTATTAAAAAGTTAGCCATGTATTTACTTTGTGACCAAGCAATCACTTAAGTATTTTGCCTAGAAAAATGAAAACATATGTTCACACCAAAAAAATCTGTACATGAATATTCATAGATTTTTAAAAAAGATTTACTTATTTATGCATATAGAACTGGGGTAGAGGCCATAGGTGCATGGGTGGTGAGAGGATTCACCAGACAGCGTGGGGAGCAGACAGGCAGATTGATGAAGTACACTGCTGAGGGGAGCAGCAGGTGAGACAGGAGAGATCTCCTGCGCCATGTGGGTCACCTCTCTGAGTGGAGCTGGGGATCGAACTGGTGGTGAGGCATTTTCATAGTGCTGCACTTTAACCCATTGCATGACCAGGGAGGGCCCTGTTCATTGATTTTTTTTAAATAGTAGACAAAAACTGGAAACAACTGAAATGTCCTTCAACAATGAATGGATAAAAAAGCCCAAAATCATGATATATTCATTCAATGAAATCCTACTGAACATTAAAAAGAATTAATTATTGATGGTAAAATTCAGATGAATTGCAATGGCAATTAAGCTGT